TCCATACAAGGTGAACTCAACTTCATTATTGGTAAACTCAATTCAATATCATTGTACGGATTATGACTTGAACTTACACAGAATATGGGTTTATCTGGTTTTAAATAAGAATTAACATGTGAAGGAATATGAGTTGAATAAGTAGAATTTGATTGTTTGGTACCACTTAAATAATATTCATCCTAATGTCAATTCATATTTAACAACAACTAAACTGATATTCAAGCTCTGTTCAATTCATATTCAATGCAATGTAAAGTAATATCCAATGTTTATTCAACTCATCCATAGTACCAAATACTATTATATTGAGTGTCAACACAACTCAAAAATCCAATCGTCATCTTTGGTATCAGTTAAACTTATATTATCCAAATGTCAATTCATATTTAACAAGTAAATTCATATTCGTAGTGAGTTCAAGTCATATTTGACACTAAATATCATTTGAACTCACAATGCATATGAGTTTAGCCTCCATTAAATATGGGTTAACTGATGGATAAATTCATATTCAATGTCGGTTCAAGTCATATTCAGTACAAAGTTGACTAATACTAATTGCTTACTCAACTCATATTTTGTGCCAAGTTTTGTCATATTTAATGTCAATTGAAAAATAATCAAATTCTCATTATTTGTACTCGTTAAACTCACATTCGTCTAGATGCTAACTCATATGTAAAACTAGATAAATTCATATTCAGTATCAGTTCAAATCGTATTCAGTACAAACTTGAATAATACTTATTGTGTGTCAATTGAAACATAATCAAATTCTCATTTTTTGAACTAGTTCAACTCATATTCGTTTCAAATGTTAACTCATATCTAAAATCATAAGTGTTCAGAAGAATGAACATATACATTCCAACTATTTCACTAATACAGGTTGTATTGAGAGAAGAAAACGTATACTTAACACATACTCAACCAGCGGCGGATCCAGGACATAAGAGAGCACTGGGCCGCATTTAAATAGAATGTTAGATGTCATAAACAAAAATATATAATAATATAGTTTTCATTACAATGCCAATTATACAAGAAGGTCTTTTAATTTAGCAAATTCATCAATAATATAATCTCCATCCATACTGATAATATACTCTTTTTCAAAGAAAATAGATAAGTAATCAACGAGAAATTCATCGCTCATTTTTTTGCACAAATCAATGTTCATGTTCCATTGCTAAAAATATTCACTCCATGGTAGTTGTTGAAACGGCTAGGTCAACACTAGACAAATCAACAGACAAATCAATTTGTATTATGTGTCTATCCATGTTTCCTCTAGCTTCTCTAATAATTTTGCAAGAGAACAAACTTCATCTTCCTCCCATGAGTAGTGCATTCTCCAAAGAATGCATCTCATAGCCTTCAAAGTCTCGAGGCTAAACTCTCGAACAAGTTTGTAAATATTTTCTTCATCAAAACAACAGAAAGAACGGTTAGAATCTAGTGCCCCCTCAATTGAGTCAATCTAAATGATGACTCAGCAAGTTGGTAAATATTTTCTTAATCAAAAGAATGGAAAGAAAACCAGATCGACGGGCTGGCGGAGAAATCCATTTTGGGTCTGCTCGTCTCCTCGTTCTTGTTTTGTTTTGGGGGGATTGGGAAATTTTTTAAATTTTGCAAGGAAGGGTGTGCTTTAGTTTAGAGTTTTTTATTTTTATTTTAATAAAACTTTACACTTTTAGGTTTTCATGTCTTTTTTCAAATAAAATCATTGGGGCTATAGAAAATTTAGTATAAATTTAGAGTAATGGTTTGGATATGTTCATCTGAACCATTTTCCTAGTTACACAAAATCTTATTATCAAATAAAACAAGACATGATTTTAAATAGCATTGGGCCAAATACCTAAATCGAAAAATTTTATAAGCACTAAACTAACTCTGGATCCGGAGGAGGGCTGCGCCGGGGCCTGGGTTAGCCCAGCCCTGGATCCGCCACTGTGCTCAACTGATATTGAATATCAAGAATTATAATATTTAATGTCGACTAAAAAATATTCCAATTTTCATTGATATTTTAGTTCAACTCATATTTATCAAGATGCCAACTGATATTTAATGGCGGCTAAACTCATTCATTGTGAGTTCAAATGATATACGGTACTAGATTAACTAATACTCAGCTAACTTAATTCATATTCAATATCAAATATTCAGATATTCACTGTTAAATACCTTATTTACAATTAGCCTTCTTGGAAAAGAAAAAAATTCTATCAACAACAATCACCACAATCCCCATGAAAATAACTAGATTAGGGCCCGACCTCTTGGCCGAGAGAGTTTGGTTTTCATGTGTATGTGTAGTAAACATTGAGGTATATATTTTTTTATGGTTCAGGTTGTTGGGGATTGAAATAACTATTTAATTTGGTAAGTTCTCCATGAATAATATAGGAAAGTTTTTAATGTATTTGACTAATGAAGTTTAAAAAATGAAAAACAACGTCCAACTACACTAACATAAATACATATTTTAAAACAAAGTCGTATCTATATAAAAATGTCTGAGAAGAACAATGATAAGAGTTGTTTTACATCAAATATACATAATCAATCTTCAGTATACGATTTTTTTTTTTTTTGCCTTTTCCATTAACTTTCGTGTATTCAATGATATAATGAAACAAAGTATATGTTTAGAGTGTCCTTAAAAAGAAACAAACTAACTGACACAGTCATGGTTCCATTGACTTTTGTGTATTTAATGATATAATGAAACAAAGCATGCAGATGTCCAGCTGGCAAGTTCAACTAATAGAGCAACACATAAAAAGCTAAATCAAAGCGAAAAAGAAGGCAAAAACTAAAAGCAACATATCTAACATTTTGGGGGAAATCCACAACAATAAAAGTCATTGTATGAACACTTGATAATGATTTGAACACTTGTGATATATGAGTAGTGAAAGTTAATAAAAGTCATTGTAGCTCTTACTCAAGTTAGAAAGACTTTGATTTAATGGTAAGTAAACAATGATATGTAGTGCTTAAGAGGGAAGATGAGACCTTACATTGTTTATTAATATGCATCTTAGTTTCATAAATTTAACATCACTAAAAATTTATGTGTTGAATAGAAACCCATCCGAGTATGGAGCCATTGTAAAATGTATGTTATGAAGCAAATGAAAAGTCTCAAGCATCCAAATGCTTGAAAAATAAATCTATATTACCAAACATAAAATCATATCTTGCATAAGAAAAAAGAACAAAAAAGTAGTAATTCGATAATCAATATGGACACAATATCTAATCAAGAGAATAGGAAGCGGAAAAACACAAATTGTTGTGTATAGATTCCACTTTCGATATTTCAAAGTGAAAAATATCATAAAAATTATTAACCAATAAAAGGGAACGGTAAAGGGGGAAATCCATCAATTTGAACCTAAAATGAGAGGAATTAATATCCTACACCATCATATATAATGATATATTACATCCCAGAACATCATCAAAAAATCTATCTAAATGAAAAAGTATACTAAATTGAATCTAATGTAAAAGTAACGATGAAGATAGATATTATATCCACCTAAGGAATAATAAAGTAAGCCATGTTTCTTAGAGACCTCTCTCGATAGAACCACTCTATTATAGAACCCATTTCGTCAAACAATTGCATCATATAGAGTTTTAACTTAAATTTGAAGTGCTTATAATTAGCTATTTCAGCTCACGAATGAATTAATTATATCATTTGGTAAAAGAAAATAATTTATAAACTTGAGAGTTATTTCGTTTGTTGTTAAATCATTTGAACTAAAGTATGAAAGTGCTTTAGAGCCGTTATTTTATTCATTATTATTAAAATTGCTATTTTTATTATAATGTCTAAGCATGTCTAAGCGAGTAGGAGATAGACAAATACCCAATGACCGACGTACGCCTAACGTGCTGCTGAACCTCAATAATTATAGCAAACTTTGAGTGCATCTTATAAATTTGATCACTTCTATTTTGGTATAATTGATTACATCATGAAAGCGATCAATCAAAGAGTCTTTCTTTAAGATTTTGATAAGATGTCCCCTACTGCACAATTAGTATGACTAAATTGTAATAAGATAATCATGTATTAAATTTGGAGTCGATAACGCAAAAGATTGTACTAACTCAAGTAGAGTTTTAGCTACTCAGTACTTCATATTTGCATGTAGATAGCTATTTCGAAGAGTTCGAATATTGATTGAGTTTGTTGAACTTTACCTAACGAAACTATGATATCAATCACAAGATATTATGCTTTTTGGAGAAATTGGGAGAATGTGTTGGTGATTTCAAACCTAACATGGATAGCATTGAATTTAAGTGATAAGCAACATTTATGTTTAATAGATTAGACATGAAAAATATATTTAGCATTCCCATAAGTTGGTATGAAGAAGTGAATAATTAGGAATTGAAAGCTAGAAATAAAGTTGATTTAATAAATAACTGCAAATGATATTGTGAAAAAGAAAACAAATGCTTAGAGCATAGCTAGACATAAGAGTGCGACATTGAACTCTCTAAGAGAAAGCAAGTAACCATTAATAGTTAGTTGTGGATATTGAAATAGTTAACTATGATGAATACTATACTGGTGATTAATACTTGGACCTTAGCTTGAACATTGCATCATGCTGATAAAAATTATTTCATTAATTTACATTATTGAAATAAGGGGTCGCATGGAAGTTTTGATTGTTTTTTTTTTTTTTAGATTGTTAAAATAAATACATTTTTCATAAGACAATAATATGTTTTTATTTTTGTTCATACACAATCGTGAATTATTTGTTTGATTTGACTAAACTATCATTCACTTTGAATGATTAAACAATTTCGAATTTTAGCATAGACTGTAGAGATAATTTGTATTGGTGTTTGTCATGTTTATATTTCTTGAAATGTATGGTACCAGTGTTCTTATGTCGTCATTGAACACTTCAATTCAATCCGCAATATTCAAACCAATGATATTTGTGTTGAGATTTTAAGATTATCCTTCATTTATAAGTTAGAAAAAATTCTAAATTAATTATTAAAATATGAAAATAGAAGTATCAAACATCACAAAATACTTACAGTAGACTTAGCGGGCTAACTAACCGTGATAGAAAAGTACTTTGTTTTTCATAATTTTAACTTCCTCTATGTTTTGTATTAATAAAGTACAACAAATGTGTCTAGTCTAATTGGTTACAATTCTTGTGTTTTGGTGGAAGAGACCATGGTTCAAATCCTTGCATTGATATCTTTTTATATGAAATAAAAAATTGATTGTGTAGACGAAAATACTCTTCCTACTTTCACTCTCGTTGCACGAAATTTGAATTTGAGCAAATCAAACTCTTTAAAATAACAACGCAAATGACACCAAATAATGTTACAAAATCATCCTCAAGTTCAAATCTTCTATGCTAGCTTTACACAATCGTCGTCTTCTTTTCAATCAAAGATGACGTACTCATCCTTCAAAATTGGTTGATCGGCAGCAGCAAGAACCCATATTCAATCCTGCAAATTCATAATGGAGAAAAGAACAACAATAAGTCAATGGGGGTTCACACACACTACTACACATTTGTAACACATACACTTCATCTAGCTAGCAGCAGACGTGATAACCCATCTCTTAATACAAACCTCATGATTCAGAACACAAGACACTCTACAATTCATTGCATCGGAAGCAGAATGATATCTGCAAACAAATCCTGTGAAAAGTAACATAATGATTACATTATCTAACTAAATATCAAAATCAAGTTACAAATTTAATTTTTCTACTCACCATTTAAATCCAGCGCTGACAAGCAAGCTATAGAAATGAGTTCATAAGTTCTCACACAAACCCTGCCTAAATGGAGCTGCGTTTCCCAACAGTAAAGGAGTCAGTTTGCTGATTTGTTCTTTCACGGTACATCCCCTCTTTTTTTTTTTTTTTTTTTTTTTTTTTTTTTTTTTTTGCTTACTTGAAGCTTCTACAGAAATCAGGATGATTGAAATGTCATTAGAATAGTCATGCTATCATTAGTACGCCAATAAGTTTAAGAGTAAGTTCTTTGGTTTGGTTTAGTTTTCTAGATCAACATATTGCCGTTACATCTAGACCAGCAAATATAAAGCTTAAAAACAACTGGTAAGGTTGGTCAAATCTTAGATTTTCATATGAATTCAACTATGAAGGTTTGCCCTCACAACAAGGCCACTTTCAGAAAATCCTACTTCATTAATTTTGGAATCTGATCAAGAAAGAAACAAATGATTATGGCTTCATTAAGAACCTCTCCCCTCACTGTGAATGAAAGCAAAAACCCAGAACAACATCTAAAGTTAAAGAACTTTATCTCTTTCTTTTCTCCATTTCCATGAAAGGTACCCAGGGTTGATAGTAAGCAGAAAGTTTACAATTTGAAAGAATTTTTCCCAATAACAGACCTCATTAACAAAGCTGAACAATTTTGGAAACAAAAAAATAAACCATGAACTTGTTATCCAAGAAGAATCCTCCACATATTCATAAACAAACAAAAGATGATAAAATGATAGCATGAATACCTTTTTTGCGTGTAAAAAGAGTAGCAGATGTAAAGAAAAGAAAAAGGCTTGTGCTGGAACAAATTCTTACCTTTTTGTTTTTTTCTCCCGTCTCCAAAGCATTTTCCCTTGTAGCCCACCACACTCGTCAAGTTCCCTCGTTTAATTACCTAGAATATAGACGTTATAGTCGATTTCCAGTTTCCATTCTCGAAACAAGATGATGTAAGGAACAACGAAGAAAAATAAGAGCAAGGAAGGGGTACCCCGTCCTTAGTTCCAGTGTTGTAGAAAGCACTGGCGATGGCTTCGAGCAAGGATACTTCAATAGGCTGGAACAAATCCCCCAATCATTTGGTAATCAGAGCGAGGAACTCCATTTTGCGGGGTTCATCGATGATTGGACTGGGATTACTGATAAACCCTAAAACAAGAGCAAACAGAAAGAGCCATGGCTATTGGCTAAAGCAAAGTGTTGAGTAATCTCTCTTCCCTGCGGCAACATCACCGAATATTGTGGCACTAGAAGGTGGAAAGCCGCCATTTCTAACTACCCCGGATTTCAGTTTGCAAAGGAGATGCAAGCAGAAGCACCAAGAGCGACACGGTGAAGGGAGGAATAACAAACATCAAGAAAGCATAGCAACGATGTGCGGACCCTCTGCTACGTTGTCGACGCCGTTCGCCGCAGCAGAGACTCTGATTTTGAAATTTGAATCGGAGAGGGAGAGAGAGAGAGAGAAAGAGCAGAAAGGGAGACAGGGAGTGAGGGAAGAGGCGAAGAGCGTGAGAGTGAGAGGGATAAAGCGAAAGTCTCGCTTGGGTGGTCCCTCCGCTTACGGGTAAGCCGGCTAGCCGGCTTTCATTTAGCCATTCAAGTGCAAATCGAGCCCTTCCTCCACCCAACAAACTACAACCTTTCATTCCTTGTTTTGCTGATGTGGCTGCATACCAACCCTATGTGCACCATGCACACAAAAATAGCTATGTGCACCATAGCGAAATTGTGGCATTACAGAGAACTTGGTTGACTTCTTAAGAAACTGGACAGTTTTCCCAGAAGCCGGGGAGACACAAATGATAGGCAGAAGAAACCAACTGCATGTTTTCACAGTTGAGCACCCTCCAAAATACATTGCACCTATGGGGATCAAATCCAGCTCAGAAACCAAGAAACAAATGAATCAAATCCCTTTGAATGAAACGAAGAGAAACCCTGATCTATAAATACTCTGCAAATCTCTCTCAAACCCACCAAACCAAGTTCACTACTCTCCGTCACAAAACTTATACTTCCATTTCTCACTGCTGTATTTACATACCAACAGAGGAAAGAAGATGAGTTGTAGCTCTTCAAGAAGCTGTGGAATGGCTACTCGACCACGACCATTTTGCCGAGGAATCCGGTTCAGATTTCACTTTAACTCCAGTTGAAAGGGGATTTACAGACACCAAAGGAGGAAGTGAAAGCTTCTGAGGATTTCAAAGCTCTTGTTACTGACTACTGCTGCTGCTGATAAAGTGAATCAGGAGGTGACGGCTGCTGCTGTCAAGGAAGAAGAGAAGGTTAAGGTTAAAGTTGGGGCAGCTGGAACTTCTGGGTGTTCTTCTGGCTGTTAGTTAAGATGGGCAGGGTTTATATCTATAGGAGCAGTTAAAATTACAGGTTGTCTAGACAGTTATGAGAATAAACAGTTTATCCAGTAATAATCTATGATTTCAAGGAACGGTATTGGCTTATAAACGAGACAAGGAAAGTGCATGAACAAGTTCTCTCTGATTCTATAAAAGATCATACTAATGAATTGACTATTAGTGTAATCAACCGACTACTAACAGACTACTCCGGTACAATTAAATTTCATGTGAGGTTTATCAATAACAAGCATATAGATTAAAAAAACTCGTCCACAAAGCTAGTGAAATTCACTGTAAACAGAATTCCATCGCCAAGAGCAAGAATAACTCACAGTAACATAGCAGACGGTTGATTTCACGATGAGCTCTACTCAGTGATGGATCCAAAAAATTTATATAGGGGTGTCCTCTTCTAAAAATTAAGTTAAAATAATTATTAAATAAGAAAATATCTGCCTTGTCCAAAGGAAAACAAAGCACGTGATGTGTTTCGTACTTTGGAAAAATTGTAAAATACAATCGGTGTCCAACAATGCTCTATAAATCTTTCTCGATATATCCTACTAGACTAGGGGAGCCCGTAATTGGGTTTAATCGTTAGCTTTTGAAAATAATTGAGATAAAAAATAGCTTTTTACTATTATATTTGTATTAGAAATACAAGAACATATGAGTTATAGTCTAATGAAAAATATTACTAATAATAGTATCGACCCAACTTCAAATCACATAGGCAACCACTTAAATGTTTATATTTACCCACACACAAACTACTATTGGGGGATTATAATCGTTTTTTCAAATATTAGGAGTGTCCCGCCACAAACTACTATCGGGGGTTGAATAATCGTGTTCCCAAATTTTAGAGGTATACCGGGACACCCCTAAAGCCCCATGAATCCGCCACTGGCTCTACTTCTTCATCAAGTCTTATTCTCAGAATTTGACGAGACACTAACGAGAGTCAGAACCAGGGCTGCAAATGAGCCAAGCTACTCGCAAGCAACTCGAGGCTCGAATCGGGAAAAGCTCGTTCGAAACTCGATTCGTTTACTGACGAGCCAAGCTTGAGCCTAACTTTGTTCAGCTCGTGAAGCTCGCGAGCCAACTCGACTCGGTGGCTTGTTGTGCTCAACTCGTGAGTTGGCTCATTTAGAGCTCATGAGATGTCTCAACATTGTGGTTTTGAGGGCCAACTTGATCACTAACTTATGGACTAATCGATCTAATTTGGACTTTCCTAATTCATAGGGTTGTTAAATTATATATCTCACATCATGTGAAGTTTAACATGTTGAACATGTAAGAAAATATGCCTTATTTTTAATTCTATAAAGAAATTATGTACAAAATTGTTTCGATACTATGAAATAACATGATTTGAACTAGTTAAAATTTATTAACTAAACAATATGACACCTAAAATTATAATATAAGATTAATTAATGTTAAACATTTGATTATTTTTTTATCGCTACATCAATCATATGTACCATACACGACATACAAAATGAATGTATTAAATACGATCTGAGAATTTAGTAAACAAGTCTAGCTCGAACTCGACTCGGCTCGTTAATAAATGACTCGGGCTCGAGCTCAGCTCATTTGTTAACAAGTCAAACTCAAGTTTGGGTAAAACTCAGCTCAGCTCGGCTCATTTGCAACCCAACTGTTTGACTGTTTAGTAACCTGCAACAAATACAGTGCACCCACGGAAACCGTACAACATTGGGATCATTTTCATGGCATATTCACTCCAAACTCCCACGGAAAATAAATCAAACCATTTAATGCAATGAAGAAATCCCAATGAACACTTTCCTGTATAAATACTCACTCCACCGTCTACGCTATATCCCAATCCACCAAGCAACTTTACTACTGTTCATTATATCTTATACTTCCGTTTTCCCCAGCTTAGATTTACGCTTTTACCAACAGAAAAGAGGATGAGTTGCTGCTGTACAAGAGGATATACTACTACAACTTCTAAGATGGAGATTGGAGACCCCCACTGTGACTCCAAAGAAGGATAATGTGAAAGCTGCAGAGACTTTCAAAGCTCCTGTCTCCATCGCTGCTGCTGGAGTTAAGCAAGAGGAGAAGGCTGCTGGTGTTAAGCAGGAAGAGAAGGTAAATCTAACATTTGAAGTTCTTATCATGTTCTGTGTATAAGGAAAAAGCATCACCTTTATCAGTTCATGGAATAAAGAGTTCTCTTTTATATACTTAGCAAGTCTCATAGATAAGAATTTATCTGGTGAGTGGTCATTTCGGATATACCAATGTGCTTGTTAGGGTAAGCAACAGTTTGGACCAAACTAGGCAACATAGAACGGATCAATATTTAGATAACAGTTTTGTATAGGACCGGTTAGGTGTATAATTCTATATCCATTCCTATTTTCAAGTTGAAGAAGTTGTCGGCTTCAATCCATGGAATTTCTAGAAATAACGTTAACGGATTAAACTGAAATCTGACTGGACCAAATGGAAGTGATATGAGAAAAGAAGAACAAGAACATAAGTACCATTTCATGCCGCATGGTTTGCTCATTCATTCATTCATCCAATGGCGCTTAACCCATATGATTTCCTAACACTTCTCTCCCTCATCATCTCCCTCACCTTCTCAACTTCATCCCACCTCTCTTCCTCGGCATAGATATTGGACAACAGCACATAATTGCCAGAATTCCACGGCTCAATCTCGATAATTTCCTTCACCACAAGCTCAGCCATCCTCATCTCACCATGATTCCTACAAGCCCCGAGCAAGGCACCCCACAGTGGAGCAGCAGTTGGCCTCTGGTGGGGTGCCATGCTTCTGACAATATCATATGCTTCCCTTACACGCCCACTGCGGCCCAGTAGATCAACCATGCACCCATAGTGTTCGAGTTTCGGCTCAATTTGGTAATCTGCTACCATCGACGAGAAGAAAGCTCTGCCCTTTTCCACCAAACCCGCATGAGCACAGCACGATAAAACCCCAACAAATGTCGAATCATTGGGGCAAAATCCTTGGCTTGTCATTTCATAAAACAAATCTGAGCCAAGTTCGCCTTTGCCATTCAAGGCCAGGCCAGAGATCATTGCATTCCAAGAAACCACGTTCTTCTTAGGCATCTGGTTAAATTTCCTCATTGCCGTATCCAGATTGCCACATTTGCTGTAGAAGTCCACTAGAGCATTGCCTGCAGGGATGGAGTTAAGATAGATACCCGTGGATTCAGCGTAAGAATGAATCCACTTGCCGACGTCAAGAGCTCCCAAACGGGCACAGATCGGCAGGACTGTAACTAAACTTGCCTCGTCTGGTTTGACTACCTCTTGATCCTGCATTTCTCGAAAAAGAGCTAGACCCTCTCCATCTCGACCACTTTGTGCCAACCCCGAAATCATGATGTTCCACGAAACGACTGTCCTTTCAGTCATGTTCCTAAACAAATACATCCCTCTGGCCACATTCCCCCTCTTACAATACCCACGAACCATCAAATTCCATATGATCGCTTCCCTCTCAGTCATTTCGTCGAACACCTTATGTGCATCTTCCATTGCTCCACACGTTGTGTACAGCTCCACGACCCCAATCTTCACAGAGCTAAAATCGTCAAACCCACGAGCAAAAACCTCCTTCTGAACGCACTGGCCGAGTTTGAGATCACCATGACTCAAACATGCTTTGAGCAAAGGCGCGAAAGTGTACTCGTCGGCCCAAATGGCACAGCTTTTCATCCACGAGAACAAAAACAGAGACTCTTCGAAAGGTCCAGAAACAGAGTACCCTTTTATCATGGCGTTGAAGAGGAAGATATTGGGGTTGTGGGTTTGGTCAAAGAGACGATCGGCGTACTGCATCTTGTTGAGCGACCCACAAACGGAGACGAAATGAGATAGAACTTGGTTGCACTGGTCGAGACCATGGCGGACGAAATGAGCGTGGATTTGGCGGAGGGAATTCCATGTCTTGTGGCCGTGGAGAAGGCGCAATACCTTATTCTCAATAGAACGGTTCATCGACTTTGACAATAGTGAGAGAACATCACCTTAGAGCTTTTAAGATTTTGCAACAAAAATTTACCAAAAAAGAAAGGTTTTTGTCATAAGAATTAAGATCTCTCGAAGGTTTCCCCTTTTCCCTGGCGAGTGGCGGGAGTCCGGTATAACCGTAATTTTAAAAATGGTTCTTCCATCAAAAAAATGTTCCAAATGCGAATATGTTATTCCGCTAATGATTACATATTTACATTCTGCATAAGATGAAGTGCAATTGTTCAATTTGTCCAGAACTCAAACCAAATCTATGCATGGATCAGAATTTCATAACTGAAACACCAGAAGATATAACTCAAACCGACCTAGTCCAGTTTGGTCCGAACCAAATCGTTGTATACCGCTTGTTCTAAGTTCTGTTTTTATCCCATCAAGTATCAACCAAAGGAAACGAAAGTAAAGAGGGGCGAACAGTCGTGAAATGGCATCATCAAGATTTACAACGTTGGAAACCATTGAAAGTTTTACAATTTTTCACTGGTAAGGCAATCGGGTGGGCAACAAAAAACTCTTCAGCTATGCTACTCTGCAGAACTACCATATATCTTTGATGAACAGCATTCGTCTGAAGATTTTTTACCCACACAGACTTAATTCTTTCAAGAGGCACTTTGCATCTATTTCTTGGATGTACCAAACCCACCGAATCCCATCATAGCCGCGACATCTGGATCGATATCTTCTGGCTCTTCTGCCACCTTCTCTTTCTGCAACATAGACGACTGTCAGTATCAATAGCCAAGGTATACACGTACGATCACATGTTCTAGTCGACGTTACACTTCATTCTGACCAACCTTTTTCTCCTTCTTTCTCTCTCGTCGCTGTCTCTTCCGTTCTTCCTCCTCTTGCTGCTGTTTCAGGAGTCGTTCATCGAGATCTAAATGGAAACCGACAGTTGAATTCCCACAACTTAGTGTAACTACAAATAGTAAAAAGCAAGCTAAACAAGAACTTATATCTTCTTCTTTACCTTGTTCGGAGAAGGTGCTGGGATCCTTCCGTTTCTTGAGCATTTCGAATCGTTCTTGGACCTGGAAATACAAGTAGAACTTCCCTAGTCAGCATTATTTCAGAATCTAAGGACAATAGTGGCAACTGCATATTAGCAATTGTACCTGTTCAAGGGAAGCTCTTTCCACACGCATCGACATGCCCAAAGCCCTTTGATCTACATGTAAGATATTGCTAATGCAATTAGAACAAAGCACAGTAACAAGCAGATTTAACATGAGCTTAATATATCAGTTTCTTGGGTGATGGATGAATTCGTACGTTTCTTTCCATTGATATGGTCCAAATAGTTAGCAGAATCCTTCACTACACACTCACAAACCGAACAGTAGTATCCAGCCTGCAACCGAATACAGATTTCAAATTGTCAAGCGAGAGATAAAGAATATAACAGAGCATCTATCAACCTTAGCCAAGAGAGAAGAGGATAGAGATCTGTGGTTCTTTGTTTGTTTTTAACTCAGCGGGCAACATAGAACAATCAATTATTTTCAAACCTTATATCAAGCAGTAGACAGTAGTAACAAGAAAAGCTAACTCTGAGGAAACCAACCATATGTAGGTTATATTGGATCCACAACTCATACCCATCCAAAAAGGAGACTTTTAACAATGGGAACGAACAGTACAGAGTTTGTTCGCACCCAATTCCAAAATTATGCACAACTTCAATTCACATGCAGAATCATAAATGTACACATCGCTATTGTGAAGGACATACCTGCTGGCTTAGAGGTGCGATTGGAGTAACAACCTGCCAGTACAAAAGGTGAACAACGCAAAGAATAAAAAATGAGTGAAAATCAAAGTTGCAAACAAACTTATCCAAAAAACACATCTCAGATTAATATGAGCAGCAACCCCAAATCTCAAGCATCACTACAGAACAATCCACTAAATGAGCCTCATCTTAAAGGCAAAGCTACTCATACCCAGGATACCATAACATGTTGCGATCGCAAACGGTTATGCATTTCTAGCAGTAAGGCTACATGAGATTCCGAGCAAAAGACACCTTGAAGCTCTCAACCAATTATTTCGGAGATTATTATGTTCTCAAAACCTACAGGCTACAAGAATGCTTCCTATACAGGAAAGAACTGGCTGCCCACTTTGCATAGTGCAGCTTGCCCAACCAAATCCCAATCAATTCAGCGAAAATATTTACAGAGTGGGAGAAAGAGTACCAAACCTGAGTCTTCCCCAGTCGAGATTCGAGGTCAACTTGATAATCTCTGTGCTTTAGGGGCTTCCTCTGCACAGGAGGACCTTTGGCTGCAACAGAATCATCACAGTTTCACCAATTAAACAAGGCTGGATTCTTTTTATCACCACAAATTAAGCAAGTAATCAAAGCAAAACCCAACTTACATTTAGACTTCGATCGCCCTTCATGCTCCTGAAACAACAAGAACAAGGCAGCAAAATCAGGTCGCGAGCACAAATTGACACCCAGAAAGACGGGGGAAAGAGTGGAAGCTCTAGGGAACAAATAATACCTGTTTTTCACGCTCGCGAGCTCGTTCTAAGTACTCTTCTCGATCGAACTTCTTCCTGAACGTGTTGTCGACTCCAGCTGGCTGCGATTCAAAAGGAAGACATAAGAAGCATTGCTACCAAAAAAAGAAAGGATACAGGAACAAAACTTTTTCGCGCGAATTGAAAACTTACAGCAGCCATTGCAGGGAATTGCGAGCGGGAATCTCAGAGCGGGAAATAACCCAGATGAATGAATTCGATTTCGGGACCGGGAATTAGATTTCTAAACCCTAGAAAGAGACTGTTTCCACTGGCTTCTCCAAATTCAGACGTGTAGTCGTGTAGAAGCATATGAAAAAAGAAATTATTAAACAAAAACAACAAATATATTCATTCTGGTTTTGTAGACAACAACATGGGTGTTTGGTCTAGTGGTATGATTCTCGCTTCGGGTGCGAGAGGTCGTGAGTTCGATTCTCGCAACACCCCTAACAATTTTTTCATATTTCCTCATTCAGTACCTAATTTTTTCCACATTTCGCTTGGGACAAATTCATCCAAACGGCCACCACCATGCAGTTCATGCAACGTTGCTAAGCCTATTTTACGATTTTGCTTGAAATCGGTATATGCTTCGGATCAATCCCTCACTGCAAAAATCATTACTGAGAGTGAGTGATAACTGATACCACTAGCTAGCTTTCAAAAGGGTACATTTATAAAATCTTTCGAACAAGCCAAGAACCAGAATATCAAGCAGTAGTCTAGTTCCCGTGTGTAACTGCCAACCATATCGCCATTTTCCCAAGCTTCCAAAAGGAGGGGAAGAAATTTAAGCAGAACCCATCGGGTAAAGTTGGGGACTTTTTGGCTGGCAAGAAACAGAGGATACGAGAAAGAAAAAAAAATAGAGCGATGTTGAGCTCCCAAACCCTTCGACTTCTCGCTTTCGCAGCCTTCCTTTTCGCCGCTGCCGTGGCGGCAGACGGCGTCGTCGACCTCAGCGAGGACAGTTTCGAGACAGAGGTCGGCAAAGATCGCGGCGCCCTCGTCGAATTCTACGCTCCTTGGTAATTAAAATCTGTTCTCTTCACTTTCTCTGCTGGGAAATCTGCAATTTAGGGTTTGAACCAACCAACTCTGAGCTGGTTACTACTGAAACAAATCGAGATTAGCTGCAGAGATTCTGGGGTTCTGGGTTCTAAAGAATCTAGATGTTTAATCATGTTCAGGATCGTGATTCAATCAGTATGATTGGAAGGGGGAGTCTATCATTGATTTGCAATGCACGAAAAGCTTTGTGGCTCAGCTTATGCAGAGTGAATGATTGGCTGCTTCGTTGCTATAGGTGTGGGTTCTGTAAAAAGCTTGCTCCAGAGTATGAGAAGCTTGGTGCAAGCTTCAAGAAGTCCAAATCGGTGCTGATTGCAAAGGTTCATATATACTGATCAGCTTTTGATTTCTCTTGTGGGGTTTGTTTACCTTTCTATCGTCTTTAGGGGTTCTTGTCTCTATAATTGTAGGTGGATTGTGATACACATAAGAGCCTATGTACCAAATTCGGTGTTTCTGGATATCCAGCACTTAAATGGTTCCCAAAAGGCTCCTTGGACCCTAAAAAGTATGCAATTGAACAAAAGTTTTCATGTTTCGTTAACATTTTTTTATGTATTTTACCGTATTTGAAATGGTGCTGCTAATCCCAAATGGATTCTTGATGATGATGTGCAGGTATGATGGTGACCGTACTGCAGAAGCCCTGGCTGAGTTTGTTAATTCTCAAGGAGGTAACTTCGGACAACACTCGCCGAAAAAGGGAAAAACTCCTAAATTGTTTTTGTTCTGGCTATGGATAGAAGCCTTCTATTTATGCTTCTTCTCGCAATGGGTAGGAACCAATGTGAAGATAGCTGCAGTACCATCCAACGTGGTGGTATTAACACCAGAAAACTTCGCTCAAGTTGTATTGGATGAGACTAAAGATGTCTTGGTTGAATTCTATGCACCATGGTTAGTGATTATTCAATAATTGATTCGCGACGTAGCATCTGAGATACATGCATTTTTGGAATCACCGAGTTAGAAACCCTTATCCACTACTACTTTCTTGTAATCTTTCCTTGCAGGTGTGGTCACTGTAAAGAACTTGCTCCTGTTAGGACAATCAACACCTTTGTATTTCCTTCTGTTTCTGCAGATTTCCTAAATATGCTTACCCTTATGAAAGTTTCCATCTTTCTTCTATTCTGTGTGGTTCTATAGACATATGAGAAACTTGCCACCGCATTCAAATTGGATGAAGATGTTGTGATTGCTAATCTTGATGCAGATAAGTACACGGATTTGGCTGAAAAGTGAGTCTTTTTTGTAACACATTTCGAATAGCAATGGAACAGGGGAGTTGCTAACATGTAACTAGGAATGTGGAACCAATGTAGGTATGGAGTGAGTGGTTTCCCCACCCTGAAATTCTTCCCCAAGGGCAACAAAGATGGTGAGGCCTATGGCGGCGGCAGAGCATTGGATGACTTCGTGAGCTTCATCAATGACCAATGTGGAACCAGCCGTGATGGCAATGGAAAACTTGCTCCCAATGTTTGTTTGTTTGTTCAAACTGCGCTAGCAAAAGACTTTCAACAGACAATATGTATTCCCATAGGCCATAACTGATCCTTATTTTGCACTGCACTACACTGCAGGGTGGCATTGTGTCGTCTCTAGAGAATTTAGTGAAGGAGTTTGTTGCTGGTGGAGACGACGAGAGGAAGGGGGTGCTTGCAAGAATGGGAGAAGAAGTTGGAAAGCTCAAAGGAAACCATGCAAAGTCTGCATCTTTATTGTCATAGCTATTAGTTAACTGGTTCACCATGTAATCTAGTTCAACTAACAAGTTCAACTTGATCTTCATTGCTTGGTTTTCCACTTCAGATATGGTGAGATTTATGTGAAAGCTGCGAGGAGCTGTATGCAGAAGGGTTCTGATTACCCAAAGAATGAAATTCAGCGGCTGGAACGCTTGCTTGAGAAGGTACGGAACCTTATGATGCTTTCTTTCATTTCTCTATTTCATCACAGCAATTTCATCCAAACCAACCTCTTGCTTTTCCATATGAACTGATGATAACCTTATTCTCTTGTTTTGTGGCAGTCAATAAGTGAAGTAAAGGCAGACCAATTCACTCTCAAGAAGAACATCCTGTCAACCTTTGTCTAATTCCTGGGACTGATTTTTTTTAGCTGAGCTGAGTCCTTGGAAGTGAGTGGGGAGACAATTTCAATCAAGAAGGTGAAGTCACATCCCCTTGGAGTTTTTTGTCTTTGAATTATTGGTTGTTCATCTTCAACAATACCCCTTTGGGAGGAATCTAAATCTACTATTCCAAGGGACTTCGATTCCCCCAACCTGTGCTTGGAGCCAAAGTTTAAGTGGGGAAAACACTTTTTCCCTTTTTCTCCAGATGGGATTGGCTTTAACCTTTCCCTCTGCTTGATCTTCTCCCTTGTTCTCAAGGTATAGTGAACTGCTCTGATGTAGATGGAAAACAATTGATAGAAAGAAATGCTTTGTTGGCTGTTAGCCATACAATAAATTTCCATTTGCCATATTAGCTCTGCTTCTTTGTATCTGAACCATTGTTTTCTCTTTACTTTTTTGTGTGTTCTCTATGGAAGAGAAAGTGAACCCCCTAAGAAGTTGTACCTTTTCACACAATGATGGGAGTGCAACCCTCTAATCAAACATTACATCTCAATGCTTGGAGCTATGAGGAGAAGTCTAAATTGATACCCTTCGAATAGTACTCTTCACAATAATGGTTTATATTAATCACGTCGATTCATCCTAAATATTCTAGTTATTAGAAGAGAACCTTCCAATCCAACTCTTATGTGGAGCAAGAAGAGCCATGGGAATGAATGAGTCTCATTTGGATGATCTTTCATGTGGAGCAAGAAGAGCCATGGCAATAAATAACTCTCATTTGGATTTCCATCAAATAATTCCACAAGATAACTTAAATTCTTAGACTTGTGCTTGTGCATGCCCTATGGGTCAATGCCCATCCACCAATAATTCATCAAGTCCTCTTTTATTCCAACTAAAATCCAGCAATTCATTTTCCTTGTGAGGTAGATGGGCATTACTAGGGGGCCATTATGTTATGTTCTTTCACTTGGCTGATATTTCCATCCCACAGTTGAGAAACATTCCAACATTTTATCATGAACAAATTCTAACTCTTCATTAATGGTGATTGCCATATTCTAACTACTAACATGATGATAGTTGTTCAATAATATAAGAAGAAAAAACAATAATGGTCTGGGAGGTGTCCAAATAGGTGTATTAAGAATGTGCATTGTTCTCCTTCTCAATTGTACTTGCAAGTAAAAGTCATGTATGAAAATGTAAGGACTCAATTTTTCATCAGTGTTCTACTGTTCTCTAATACTTTATCTTTGGTATTACACCATTTTCCTACCGTTGAGATCCATACTAAAATATGATGGTGGATGATCTATACTAGCTAGTTATTTGATTTCACGTAGCACAATTAACTAGAATGAGTTTTGTTTTTTTATTTTATTATTTTCTCATGAATTTATCTTCGTTGTGACTCTGAACCGTCAACAAGCACTATTGAACCAATCATCTTTGAAAGATTTGCACTTATAAAGGTGGTAAACGACCATACATGATTCGAATCTCCAGGGATATATCTAAAATCTAAATGGCTGTCAATAATTGTGAGGTCCTATTGAAATTGTGTGTTTATTGGAGAACAATGTACATTCTTGTTAATGTTGAGTGTAGTTACTTTGAGTTTTGAGCCAATAAGGAACAAAAAGGAATGAGATGGAAGTGTCCATCCATAAACAACCAAATGCTTTTCCCTTGTGTAGGCATTGTGGAGGGCAAAGATCATCAAGTTGTTAAAAACTATGGAATCAAGAAAGTGGTTTTGATTGTGGCAATGATGGAAGGAAATCAAGGAAAAGGGCAAGAGGGAAGAAAAGGCCCAAAGAGAAAGAATCCAAAAAACACTCTCCCTACTCTTTTTTGGGTGCTTAGGCTAGAGAGTTTTACTATAATGTTTTTGAACATTAAAACCCACAAACATTCTTGTCTTGCTCTATATCTCTCCTTTTTCACTTCCCTTCTCTTGTGTCAATGTCAAATATCCAATTACAACTTCATGATCTCACTCCTTTATGTCAATATCTAGGGAGACAAAACATAACCCACCAATGTCCACATTAGGATGTTTATTATGACTTTAAAAAACTCCCCTCTTTTGGCGGATCTAACAATTCTCATTGGCATTGGTGGGACTCAACTCAATTAGCCACACCCTTTGATTAATAGAAATTAATAGATGGGGCTATGGGTTAGGATCTCTTTTGTGGTAAAGAAAGCAAAGTAGGTTACATCAACCCAATTCTCCTTATCTTTCTTATTTAATTATGGGTCCCTAATCTCAGTAGCCCATATTATTGTATTTCATTTGTGAAGATATTGTTTAGATCATGACTCAGAATTACCTATTATTATAATTGAGTTACAATATAACTGGAATTTGTCTTAAATTCAATAACAGGTCTTTCACTCTTAAAAAGAAAAGTGTGTGTTGTATAATTTTGAAGTTCTTAACTATATTAGGGGAATCTCAAAAGTAAACTATTCATAAGCGCAATACTAGAAATTGTGATACAAAATTGTAGAATAATTTAATCTAAAAGACACGATTTCGTATATCATAATCATTATCATAATCATAATCAAACAAGAAACATGACATAGTAAAAAAAACCCTCAAACTTGTTCTTAACAATCCAAAATAAGATGAGAAGCTCATGTGATATACTAGTTAGACTACTACACCCCTATAGTAAGGTTAAGGGTTTACATATTTCCCTTCCCTTTCACCCTAAAAGTAATCATTCACATTCCTCATTATCACTAGATAAATCCATGATAGAAAGACATGGAGTCCTCCAAGGTTGGTCCAGCAAAGAAACAAGCAGCCAAAAACCCAAAACGCAAGTCCCTTAGATGAAATTTCCAGCAGGGTAGTGAATGGAGCCATGGAGATGAGGGGCTCACTTCCACCTAACATATCAGGATTCTGTCTCCTCCAGCCATGTGGTACTTATTGTTGTTGTTGTTATCCTTTTCCCCTTTCCAATAATACAGTTCAACATCCACACGGTTCCAATTTCATCATCATCACACCAGCTGTTAACATCTCTCTAGACCTCACAACAACCCATTTGCATAATCATTCACTAATCATCCCCAAAAGCTGAGATTTAGTAGAGGTGGGTTTAGCATGAAGAAAGGAATTATCCACTAATCTTGCTCTCCCATGGCTTCCAAACCAAACCCATATGGAAGAAACCGCAGACAACAAATGATCTGATTCTGATTTTATTTTCAATCTTGAACCTACACTGAGTTGGTCTGAGAGAAAGAGGTCTGGCTAGCCTCATGATCGACTTGCATAAAACAAATATCTTCTAAAGGTGGTAAAAGAAGGACAACAACGAGATCAGAATCTAAAGAAAATCTATACGAATATAATAAAAAAGTTGTTTCTGTTCTTGACTCATGAATGAATCGACCCATCATCATCTTCTTCTTCACATCGTTTTCAGATTACCTTGGAAGAAAGTTGAATCAGAGATGGCTTAAGCAATCATCAATGGTGTACCAAAAGAACCGGACTGGTAGTGGGTTTTAGCAGCAAAAGACAAAGATCTACTAATAATCCTTCTTTCTCATGGCTTAATACCAACCCATATGAGAGAAAGCACAGAATATTACATGAGAGAACTGATCCAAAAAGAAAGAAACAAGAGATAAGAGATCTAGCCAATCTCATCACCTTACATACATAAACAACAGCAATATCTTCTTCTAAACCAAAATCTATACAAATATTAGTCAATAATAATAATAGTAATCTGAATCCTTGACTCGTGAAAATGAATCAAACCCATCATCTTCTTCTTCATCATCATCATGATATATTTTTTTACCTGGAAGAGACTGGATTCAGAGCTCTGGCGAATCCATTCATGGCTCCATACCCTTTTGAGCTGAACCCTAGGCAACCAAGCAAGCCTTGCCTGTACGGCAAGAATGTCCTCTTCCTCATCTCCTCAGCTTGAGCTCTGCTCGCTTTGTAATGCAGCTCGTGCGGTGAAGCTGCTGGCACTCTCTTCTTCCCCAATCCATTCACTGGCTTCTTCCCACTTCCGCCATTGTTATTATTACTTCCCCCAACTTTCTCTGAAGAACCTTCATTACTAATTCCTTTCTCTCTGCCACGGGAAGAAGAAGAAGAAGAAGAGTTGCTTCTGCTATTCCCCTTTTTTTCCTTCGATGGTGAGAAGGAAATGTTGGACCAGAACTTGGTATTGCTCCTTCCTTCACTCTTACTCCTGTAGAGAAACTCCTTGAGGAAAACCCATCTCTTCGAATTCCTACCAGCTGATGAAGATCTCGATGTCGAAGAAGAAGACGCCGAGATCGAGTTCGGCTCGTCTACTGCGGAATCCATGGCGGCGGCGGCGGCCTCTTCTCCTTCCTCCTCCCCTTCCCCTGTTTTCTTCTTTCTCGTTTCACCCTCTCCGCCGCCGTCGTCGTCGGCGAACTCGAACGACGAGGAGCGGAGCGGCGACATAGATCTGGTTCTCCGCCGGAGAGATTTGTTCCGGAGTCTCAGATCTCGCCCTCTGCTCTCGCCGTGAAATCCTTTCTTATTACCGCCGAGCTCTGCCTCATCTCCTTCTTCTTCTTCACCCTCCTCGTCGAGATCCAGTAACGGCGCGAGGACTTGGGGCTTCTCGAGGTGAGTGGAGAGCTTCATGGGCCGGATCTGGCCGTTCAAGAACAGCTCGTCGGCCGAGCTCATGGATCCGGTGTGACCGGGCCCAACAGATCCGAATCTCGCCGAGAATTCGAACTCGCACCCCATCTGCGCCAAGCTCCTGCCACCGCCGCCGTCGAAATCGTCGTCGTCGTCGTACGATGAGCGGCGGTTAGCTGCCGCGGAAGTGATGGCAAAGTGCATTGGGCTCGCGGGACAGCTGTAGAAGAAGCCGCCTCCCCCGCTTCCGCCTCCGCCATTGCGGCCGGGGCTGGAGGGAGCGCTGACGAAGGGGGTGGAGCAGGTGCTGTCGAAGTCTTCAGGGTAGAAGAGTTCGGAGTCCGGGTCGGGTTCCGGCGATGCGGGTCGGCCATTGATGGCGGTGGCCTCCATTTGTGTGTTGGGAGAGAGAGAGAGGATTGTGTGTGATGAACTACCAGTGAGGGAGTGTGGGCAGTGCCAAAAGAATAATGGGAACTGCTGCTGTTTCTTCACTAGTTAGTTGGTTACTGGTATAAATATTGCTGGACATTTTTTAATTATTTAATAATCTTTTCGTTCGTGTTTATTTATATTTTGCATTATTTGATTTGAAGGTAGTGTGTGAGTGCTTTCCCAGATTGCCCCTGGAAGTTGTGGATTATTTCCGGGGATTACCCCGTTGGGTGATGGCGGGAGCGGGAATTTCCCGTTTCTACTTTCTAGTGCCCATGACGAACAAGGACACCATAGACACCGTGACAAAATAATCCATCTCTGATCTCACTCTTCATCTCATTTCCAAGCTTGGTTTTCTATTTTTTTTTTTCTTTTTAGATAAAAACAAATCCTAAAACTATGTTTGGTCTATTTTTATCCAGCCTAGTTATTCTGCTAACTTGAATATTCGTTAGTATATATATACTAACTAATATCTAAAATGTATGAACTAATATCCAAGTCTGTTGAGTATCTAGATAGGACAAACTAGTATTCAAAACATCACAAACTAGTATCCAAATAGCAGATACCAACTAATATCCACAATCAACCAACTAGTATTCAATATGGATACTTTTATAGGTTATCTGAATACTCTTATGTGTTATCTGAATACTAATTATGTGCTATTTGGATACTATATTCTGTGTTGTCTAGATATTAGTTTGTAAATTTGGGATAATGATTGATTCATGGTGGATATCACTATCAGTTAGCAAACTTTGAACACTAGTCTGTGCTCTCTAGATATAGTACTTGGATATTAGTTCATGTATTTTGGATGTCAATTAGTATCTGCTAACGAATCTTCAAGTTAGCATATTAACTTTCCTCATTTTTATCAGTTATTGTAGCAACACAGGGTGATAATTAGCTAAAACCATTGAAGCTACTTTCAATAAGTTACTTGTTCGGTTCGTAATGCTCTTTAGTAGGGGTGTTCAAACGGATTGGTTACCGTGTCAACCATATTAATCGGTAGCATTTGGTTAATTTGGTTTGATTAATTTGGATAATTGGTTTGGTTTGGTTAAACAATTTAGCTTGTTTTGTTTAGGTGGTTTGGTTTGGTTTGGTTAAACAATTTAGTAGGGGTGGCCACGTGGGTGGTTAATCCGCGGATTGATATCGATCCACCCGCAAATAGCCCGACTCGCACGCTGTAGGTGATTGATGTGGGTGGATTGCGGATTGATAAATCTCCCACCCGCACTTATGTGGGTGAGTGGTGGGTGGATTGCGGGTCACACCGTATGACCCCCGTCCTATTTTTACATGAAAAATGTTGTTTCTTATAGTATCGAATATTCATCATATTTTCGAACTGCACAACAGTCTGACCATATACTTCAATAAGTAGAGATAAAGAATAGTATTGACTACTATTATTGGTTATTGTGCTGTCCAATATTCATTAGATATTGGATATTGGTATGCAAATTATTGTTAATACCCACTAAATATTAGGATAAAAAGTATAAATTATTAATCGTATCAAAATCACAAATTATTGATACAATCTTACTAATTTGCATGAACTTATTATAGATGTTAGTCTACTTTCTTAATAGCTAGTTGGAGAATTGCTTTTGCGGGTTGACCCGTGACCCAACCGCACCCATCCGCCACCCATCCAACCCAACCCGCAAAAGTATGTGGGTGGATTGCGGGTCACAATTATTCCAACTTGCTAGAAAGCGGGTGGGTCATTTTGAGACCAAAACCCACCCAACCCGCCCATTGCCCACCCCTACAATTTAGCTTATTTGGTTTAGGTGGTTTGGTTTGGTTTCAACGCTGCTAACCAATGAAACTAATTAACCAATTAATGATACACCTAATATACAAAATTATTTATCTTCTATGCAACCAACCAAACCAAACTTTCGTGATTCCCTACTGTGTTTTCATGTGCACAACAAACCAAAAGATTATGGGTCAAAAATTAAATGGGCCTATCTATTTACTAAACCAAAATATTTTGGACAACTACTACTTTAGGATTACGTACAATACCATGACGGCCACCTCAAACTATATATAGTTTAAGTGTTTTGTAGGAGAGTTTTAACTTCCTAATGAGTGGTATTTGTATGTATTTAATATTTATGTTAAGGGTTTGTTGTAAGCTAACTATATTAGGTGCAGAGATGATGAACAATGTATTAACTCGAATGATGATGATAATCATGGATGGTTTGTCTTATTATTATTGCTTATATATAATGATAGTTTATGATAGTAACAACATATGGTTATGTTAATTCATTAACATGATAATTGTGTTCATGTAATGATATATTATTTGGTTAATTTGGTTTTTGTGTTAATTTGGACGGTTTGGTTAAGACATTTTATTCCATAGTTAATAAAATTTAGGCTTAATTGGTTTGGTTATTACCACTTTAACCATTTGAACACCTCTACTCGTGAGACACCTCAATTCAGTGGTTTATGGAGCTCAACTTGTTAGTTGGCTCGGTTTTAGCTATTACAGTGTGGCTTACGAGTCATCTCAACCAGCAACTTATGAGCGAACCGATTAATAGTTTATCATTGACTTATTGATAATTGATAGGTTATTAGATTATATATCTCATCACATACGATGTTTAAGAAATTGAGTAAGTGATCAAATATGTCTCGTTTATAATCTAAAAGAGAAACTATGTATCATAAATTGCTCACATACTAGTTACTATAAATAACATGATATGAACAATAGGTTCAGACTAGCATACGTCAGGCGTATACTATACGTTAGGTACTACTAGTGAGATATTTATATCTAGACCATGAATTAAATCGACTTTGGGGTATGATACTATACCCTAACCTCTAATGGATAAAACCCATACACCGATTTTCTAAACCCCAGCCCAAAGTTTGATTTAATGAAAAATAAAAATTGACCGTTGAGATCGGCCGAAGCTCATCTAAATACATCTAACGGCTAGGATCACCTGACATATAGTCAGTGGCGGATACATGCATGGTTAGGGGTGTTCCGGGACATCCCTAAAATTTGGAAACACGATTATTCAACCTACGATAGTAATTTGCGTATGAGAAAAAAAATGTTTAAGTGGTAGTGGGACACCTTTAATATTTGGGAAAATGATTATCCAATCTCCCATAGTAGTTGGCGTATTGGTACAAATAATATTTAAGTAGTAGTTTATGTGATTTAAATTTGGGACACTGCCACTATTAGTTAATATATTTTCGATTACGCTACAACTAATTTTTTATTGTGTTTTAGATCCAAATATAATAGTAAAATGTTATTCTTATCTCAAATTATTTTCAAAACCTAACTATTAAACTCAATGACGGGATATCCTTGTATAGTATGATGTCGAGAGATATCTGTTGAGCAATATAAACACCAAATGCATTTTATCATTTGATGAAACACGTCAGAACTTTTAATGAAACTTTTAGGTATTTTCAAATTTAATAATTATTTAATTTAATTCTAACATTTAATTTAATTTTTTATAGAGGACACCCCTACGTAGAATTTCTGGATCCGCCACTGCATATAGTATACGCCTGACGTACTCCAGTCATTACCATGGGCAATACAAAAGTATGAACTAAATAATATTATAACTGAGCTTGAGCTTATCCAGCAAGCTAATCGATAAGTTGAACTCAAATAGAGTTTGAGAGCTCATTAATTAGTCGAGTTTGAGTTAAACACAAGTCAATAACTTTGAAACGAATCAAACGCGATTTTGACCTACTTATCAACAAGCCAAGTTCAAATTATTTGAAAACTTGACTCGATTCATTTGTCGTGCAAATTTTTTATAAGGGATTAAGAAATTGAACACATCAACAACAAACAACAATAACAATAGAGAAAGAGAGGAGGAGCAAAAGAGAGAGAGGCAAATGACATGCAACAGGGAATGGGGAGAAGAGTAGGGATCATGTACGGGGAATGGGGATAATAAATTAAAAAGGGGGGAGTTGATTTTTAACTATATCATATTATCATGTGTCAAGTACTAAATACTTTTATTATTTTATTTTTGTAGAGCATTTCATTAGTTGATTTGATGTGATAGTTAGGATATTTTTTAAGTTTGAGATTTTCCTTGCACCTTTTTTATACATTAACTATTTAAGTGTAGAATTTTCATTTCAACTATTTCGTTTAGCTTGTGCTTACTCGTATTCCCATAGAATTCACTTTTACGATGAGTAGCTAACTTGTGAAGAGCATGGTTAACATAATCACTTTACAAGTGTCAAAGTAAATCCATGCTTTTGTGTTAATCAAGCTTAAGATAGAGAAAGATGGTAGACAAAAGAGATCAATGCTGGCACTAAAGACAAACCAATTAAGAGAGTAGAGGAGACTTTTCGATTTTTATTTATTATGTTGTTTCTATTGAAAATTACGAAATTGTATCAAAAGTTGTATTAGAAAAGTTCATGATAGAATATTTTGTGCGGAAACTGTAACTTAACTGGAGTTCAACCATTTCAATTCGTTAGAATAGTTTATCTATGTAGGTTCTAATAATATGTTTCTGGTTGAAGCATCGATATGATATTAGAGGCGTCACTTTTGTACCCAATTCATTTGATCACAAATCTAATTAATTATATGTTTGATAGATTGTTGATAAATTATAATTTAGTATCTATATTTTTTATATTTGATGATTTTGTACCTAAAATATTTATTTCTAGAGGAAAAATATAATCGAAAAATTACTTAATAATCTTCTTTTGGTCTCAATTGTTTTTAGAATTTAATAGATCCGTAGAAAAAGGGAATGAGAGAGAGAGGAAAATCCATGTTATAAAGACAGAACTTTGGCCACATATAAAGACACACCTAGCAGAACTAGATTCATAGGATCCTTTTAACTCTGGGCACCACACCCCAGGCTTCTGCGCAAACTTCCCGCCAGGCACGAGGCAACCCACCACCACCATTCCCCCCAACCTACATTTTTATATAAATTGTGTCAATAAACACCCAACCAAAAAGAAATAAATGGCCTAAATTGTGCATGATAATACGCTAATATTGGAAGTTTAATTGTCCATGCATTTAGTCGTAATAAATTGGTGGGATTCATGAAGTCTGAGAGTTCAAATTCATGATCTTCAGTGACTTCAAAATTTCACTCTTTTCGAGTCTATCAAAACACCTTTATTTATTTATTCAACGAAGAAAAAAACACCTTTATTTTTCAAATTTACAGACAAAACACTTTTAAGTCTCGACCCGTGCTCTAAATTGGAAACAATTTTGTGCAATGACACGGGGAATAATAAGTAACAAGGATAACAATAATAAAAAAATTAAAAATACTTCACACACCATAAAATCTGGTTTGACATTTTTGGGGAATAATAAGTAACAAGGATAACAATAATAAAAAAATTAAAAATACTTCACACACCATAAAATCTGGTTTGACATTTTTGGGGAATAAATGCAGATTACATATCCCTCCTCCGTTTTTACTTTTTACTCTGGACCCAAGAAAGAAGAATATTTAGTGGTGTGCCTCTGCCTCTCTCACTGCACATCTCCCAATCAGTTCCTCACATCTACTTAAACCCAACCAACCAAATGTACTCAGCACCAGCAGCAAGTGGAGACAAAAACATGACATAAATAATGATAAACAAACTGAAATTAGGAGAAAAGAGAGAGTTATAAAATGGCAAGTCAAGTCAAGTAGTGGCTTTGGCATTTTGATTGAAACAATGAAAAAAAAAAAGAAGAGGAAAGGACACTTAATCCATGCTTCAGAAGTACAACCAAGCGAGCACAAAATCAATAAACACCGAAAGCTCTTTTGCAATAAAATCAATCAAACTAGCAGTACTAAGCACAATCAGCTCATCCGATTCGAACAAGCCCATGACTCTTGAACATAATTAGCTCCATTAGTGAGATTGAGGTGCTGCAGAATAGGCATGTTATTGTAATACAAATCAAAAGGGTTCCACTAGGAGGATGTAGTAGTCCTCCTTTACATTTCTTTGAAATTGACCCGGAAAGCAATCACATTAGGGGTGACTATACGGTCCGGTTCAGTTAAATTGACCCGAATTGATCCGGTCTCAGTCTGGTCTTTTCGGGAATATAAGGACCAAAGATTGGATTGGATACCGTCCGGTTTTGACCCGGTCCGGTTCCAATTCGGTCTTGATTTTAGATTGAAATTGTAGGGATTTGAGTTGCTTGAGGACTCAAAGGGCGTGGAGTTGGTTAAGTTTTGGTGTTGGGTTCTCTTATCCGGTCTTTATTAGGTTTTCGATCCGGTCCCAAACGGTTTTTTACCTCAAATCTACGCCCGAAAATTGGATTAAATTGTTTGCTATCCGGTTCCAGTCCAGTTCCGGTCCATTTCGGGTAAAACCAAGTAGCCCGAAGCAAATAGCCAGCCCTAAATCTCATATCTGCAAATTCGATCACTCATGTGATGATGATATATTAACGGAGTAATAGAATTATTATTCATTGCAATGTAGCATTAATAGTACATCATCTTCCTCCGTAGCTTCTAGCCTCCTCCTACTCCTAGTACAAAATTGTAATAAAGTCAAAGGGGTGATGATGCTGAGTTAATTGAAGGGAAGTTTGCTGGTGGGTAGGAGGAATATTAAATGGGCCTAGGGAGTTTACTTTGGACAGCTACTTCGGTTCGGGGGCTTCTCCTACTCCTACTACAAGGCCTAGGCCCGAGAATATTGCTACTGCATTATCACCTATTTATTAGTTGAGGCCCGAGGGCTACTGCCTACTGAATTGGATTGGGTGGAAGAAAAACAAGTAATAATAAATTGTGGAAAAGGGTATTTGTCATTTATTAAATATTAATTAATTATCATTTTCCTGCCTCTGTTGCTGACACTCATCTACTGAGTGATAGATAGGCCCAATTTTTTAACTACACAGACAGGCCCAATTTAACCTTTTATTTTAAGAAAGGCCCAAATAATTGTTGGTATATGGTATACTTTATCAATTATCCTTCAAGTGTTGGGCCGGGCCGGGCCGGGTGGATTAAACGGTTCTCATTTCAGTCGTTGCGGGTGGCTGGATGGCAAAACGATTCTGACTGGCCATTTGCCATGAGAAGCAACAAATGCAGCTGGCTAGTAAGTAAGGGAGGAGGTTTCTGCACAAAGATTCTGCAAATCATATGAGATGATGGGTTTCCATGACATGTAGGAGATGATGATTGTTATTTCATAGTCAAAAATGGAGGAGAAGATGGTGGAATTGACAGAGATATAATGACAGAATAATAAAATTGATTTGAATAACATTGAGAAGATATTGAGAGATTTGGGTCGGAATAGAACTTTATAAGGAAAAAACAATTGTGACAATTTTGAGGGTATAGCACAGACCTGGTAGAAGCAGACATGGGTGGAGGGAGAGTGTGAAATGGTGGGTCCCGAGTTTCACCTTCATATAGAAGAAATAATAGTTATTGTACCAATCAAGATATATTTTATCGGTATCTAAAGCCAAAAAATCTGGACTATTCATTAATTAAAACAAAAAAATGAACACACATCGTAGTGTTTTCTGATATGCCCTTTTGCTTTAAGTTGTAAGGGAGGGATGATCCCTTGTGTGTGAGGCAGATACGGAGATAACCGGTTCATCAACAAAAGTACGCTAGCTATTAACTGGATATATCATTTCAAACATATAATCAACAATTGTAATTGTACGAAGTAAGATATAATTTTATTGATATAAAAATCAAAATATTTGAACTATTCAATTAATGAAAAGATAAAAAAGGAGCATACATCATAGAGTTTTTTTTATGATATGCTAACTGGTTCATCAACGGAAGTTCTTACTGAAAATAAAAAATAGAGCTCATGGAAGGGAACTAACACTTAAAAAAAACTTTATCAAATTACACTTTAATTTACTTCTTACGGTAGGAAATTGCTGTAATTTTTCTACCGACTTCTTTGCTATTGTTTCACCATATGTATCATGATATCTATCAATAACTGTAGTTTCATATTCTTCACTGAAACCTCTTTGCGATCATCAATAGTCTATCTATTCTTCTCAACAATGTCATTACTCATTATCACTATTTTTGAATTCACTACCGCTACCATCAATAGACTCTTTCTCTTTCATCTTCATTTAAATGATATTTTAGTTGAATAAAAAATGTTTGCAAATATGAAACCTTTATCAATTACAGATTCTTAATTGGCGTAGCTACTAACCCAATAGCTTAAAATCCCACATGTTTGGTTTTCAAACTAAATGTTTCGCTTCTTCTTCGCCTAAGAATGAATACTCAATTTCCTTCGAGTTATAAATGTGTTATTTGGACATATTTATTATTAGTGAATAAAAATGCTGGTACCCACAAAAAAAAAAGAGAAGTTTTTTCTCCCTAGAATATGGGACAGGTAGAAATTTTATGTTTTTTTAGGATTCATCAATAAACTCTCGTGTATGAGATATTATTGATTTAGAAGTCTATAAAATGTGCTAAATTGCACGTTTGGTCATTGGAATTACTAAACAATTTCACGTTTGTCTGTAAAATTACTTTATTTCATTTCTAGTCACTAAGATTAGTTTAACAATTCAAATTTGGTCACTCTAAGTTAATTTTTATTGATATGGCAATCAACCTTTATAGTTGACCGTTAAATGAGTAATGTGACAAATAAAAAATAATAAAATATTTATTGTAATAATTCCACCTCACTATTACAATAAATAAATAAATAAAACAAAAAAGGTCAATCCTGCAATCTGCGGCCAGAAGAACTCCGACCAAGGGTCCGTCCCGTCGGCGTCTCTGATGATCCGGGGAAGCTGACTCATCCTAAACCAGTAATTTTCCGGGAACCTAGGAAACGAAATGTGCACCTTACGACTTGGATAGTCGGAATCGACTGTCCTCTGTTTGAGAAAGATTCATCCACACTAACATGTACTCCAAGCTGTCATACGCGCCACACGTCGTGAGTGAAATTCTGGATCCCCAAACTCTCGGACGCTGTCGTAGCCCACCTGAAGAACATGATGGAAACCAACTTCGTTAGGGTTTCTATATTTATTATTATTATTATTATTACTAATAGGGTAATTCTTATTATGGTTAGTAGTATTCTAGTAGAATTAGGTTTATTAGTAGGGTTTCCCTATATTCGCTATAAATATGTACTAGGTCTATTCATTCAGGATCAATAAGAAGAATAATAAGAAAACTCTCCAAACCCTATTCTCCCAATCCTCTCAATTCTCGTTCCCAATCCTTCTAAAGGCCTAGGCCGATTCTCTATCTATCTTTCTCAAATCCTTAATTCTGTTCTTAATTCCTAAATCCCCAATTCCCGATAGAACCCTAATCACAGGTTCTATCAATTGGTATCAGAGCCATGGTCACGAGTTTGAGTTCATCACAACTCTCACAAGGGAATTGTTATCAGAAACCCTATCACACGTTTGAAGCTCTCCAAGCCAGTTTAGCTAGAAGGGAAGCTCACACCGACTATATGATAGCAGGCCTGAAAGAACTTCGAGCCAAACTCGAGCGCTATGCGGCCCGTCGTCGCGCGACCCGCAACCAGCCAGAGTCGACGTCGAAGGATTCATCAGCATCAGCCTCCATTGAAGACACTCCTGCTAACGTGGAGTTTGCTCCTGCTGCCGTGGAAATCAGCTCAATCGGCGCAGCTCCTCAACCAGCTGTGACGGCAGAATCGTCAGAGGTGACGGCAAATGACTGCTCGGCAGTCACGGAGGAGGCTGCAGACGACGACAAAGTGGAACAACAGTCCTTGACCGCGAGCGATGAGGCCGCCGACAAGACTAAGGCGACTCAGGAACCACCACCGGCGGCGGCTGAAATCTTTGTCATATTTCTCCCAGCTATTGTCGAGAAAGGAGATTCGGATACCGCTAACAAGGACGAGCAGCAGCTGCTTCAACAGACCACGTCGTCTCATCAGCAACACCCACCAACATTGCGGCAGTTTCAAGGATCGCCATTCCCTCTACTGGGAAGGACGAATCGTGCCCTGAGGAGACTTCACTGGATCTGAAGTTGGGAGAAGAATTGCAGGTAAAGTCAAGAACCACCCCAACCCTATTAAAAATCCCAATCGCTTGCTGGAAGTTTAGGAAGAAAGAGAAGTTGACGAAGATGGAAGAGGCGGCGAAGAGCTACCGGGTTGTCTCACCGGAGAACAACGCCATGTCGGAGAAGAAGCAAGAGCGATCGGAGTTGCAAGTCGCAGGAGGAAACGACGATTGGTGGCAGTTCGAACCGCGACGTCGGCGACAGAGAAGAAGAAGCCGCTGAAACAAGAAGAAAATGGGATTTGTGCAGCGCACCCAGGCGAGCGAGGAAAGATGCCGCGGCAGGGGATGAGCTCGTCGCTCCAGGGAAAGGAGGAGGATGACGACGGCGAGACCATTTTCTCGCCGAGGAAGAAGAAGGAGAAGTGGAGGCCGACACTGGGAGTTGGACTCAATCGACGGCACCGCACAGGACCTGGGAAGACTCGGTGAGTCATCTCGCCCTCGCCGCAGGGCGTGGCGGGGGATCGGCGGCGCGAATCGCCGAGCGCGGCGGTGAAGGGCGCAGGGGTCGCGGCTGCGGTGGCAGCGCGGCGGGCCGAGGCGCTGGACCGGCCGGAGGCGGCAGGGGACGGCGGGTCGATGAGGAGGCCGACGTAGGTGGAGGAGCGTCGACCTTCACGGCGGGATGAGGGGGCCCGCCGCCGGACGAATCGTTGGTCGGCGGAGAAGGAGACGGCGATGGCGGGCGGCGTCTCGAGTAAGAGGAAGAAGAAGACGAAAGATGAGGCTGGTGGCAGCTAGGTTTCTCTTCTCGAAAACCCTATGTCATCCTCCGGTCGCGCACAGCAGCCAACCGAGTCGTTGGGCCGAAAACCCTGGGCTGGGTGGCCCAAGACACAAGGTGAGACAGGACGAGCAAATCTGGAGCAAGGGAGGCCATTGGTTGGGCTTGGGTCAGGCCTGTTGGGTCACTCAAACGGGCCACGACTAGAGGAGAAGCAGGCTGACAAGGAGCCTAGATGTGGGCCGCGAATTGGAAAGAAGGAGGCTGAGACAATATCTGAGTGCGGGCTGGAGCTTGGATCGCAGTGGGCCGATGGAGGTTTGAGGGAGGAGCCGAGCTGGGCTCTGCATGGGCCGCCCAATAACAGTCTCACAAGGACTTTAGTCTATGTGGTTGGGCCGGTTCAGGAGGGATTTGAGCCCAACATGATCTGGGTTTTGAAGAAGGAAGAAGAAAATGGGTTCATTGAGTTGCAATATGGCCTTCTTAAAGAACATAGCCCAAAGGTAGGTGGTGAAGCAACAAATCAAGTAAGTGAGCTGGTTTCAAGGGATATTTTTAAGGGTCTTGATGAGTTGGTATTCAATGATGAGTTCTTGTGCAATAAAGTACCCTTGAATTGTTTAAGTGACTTGACTATGGTGCCAACAAAAGAGGAGTTGTTGAAGTTCGAAATTATTGAAGAAGCAATTAGGGAGCCCATGGAAGTGAAAGCCGAAGAATTACGTCAACACGAGGTCGGTGGAAAAAGCCCAATTCAAAAGATGGAGTATGATTGGAAGAAAAGGAAGCGCAAAAAGTGGAGGAGACAAGGCGCGATCTACACGGGAGGTAGGGTGAATAAATGGGTCGAGTCGGTCAACCTTGAGGACAAGGTTGGTTTGAAGGGGGAGGAGATGATGGACACCAACTTCGTTAGGGTTTCTATATTTATTATTATTATTATTATTATTATTACCAATAGGGTAATTCTTATTATGGTTAGTAGTATTCTAGTAGAATTAGGTTTATTAGTAGGGTTTCCCTATATTCGCTATAAATATGTACTAGGTCTATTCATTCAGGATCAATAAGAAGAATAATAAGAAACCTCTCCAAACCCTATTCTCCCAATCCTCTCAATTCTCGTTCCCAATCCTTCTAAAGGCCTAGGCCGATTCTCTATCTATCTTTCTCAAATTTAATTCTGTTCTTAATTCCTAAATCCCCAATTCCCGATAGAACCCTAATCACAGGTTCTATCAGAACACGTCAGAGATCAGGCACCGCGGGCGTGGGGTGGCGCCGCGGAGGAGATCGCTAACAGGGGATTCAAGTTCGAGGGAAGCGCGATAGAGCTTCAGGCGGGACTCTTCTCCGACCGTCGCTCTGTGGCCTCCAATCGCTTGCTCATCCCTTCCAGCTGCTTCTCCATCGATCTCTGCTCATGTTTTAACCTCCCAATCTCCATCGCCATCTCCTCGTTCCCTTCCATCATAAAATCCTCAATCTACCTCGACCCTTTGCATTGCTTCCGCCTCACTATCTGCCTCAGCAAATGCTTTTGTCCCCTTAGAAACCTCTCGCTTGCGAACTCCCACCTGTCCGGATCCACTTTCCTGAGCCTTGAAATCGAGAGGGTCGACGAAGAAGAAGCTATTGTTGGCTTCCCCCCAGGAGATGAGGCTGTCAGCTGATGGGTCATTGACCATCTGATACTCTTCATAACGAACAACACGATGGTGCTGGTTTCATCGACCCCATCGTTGTTCCCTTCCATCCCATAAACGGTTAAGAACAACTCCTCCTCCTTCCTTCCGAGGAGTTACGTGGCTAATTGTGCAGTGACGTGGTGGGTTGACCATTAGTCAACGAACTTGGTTGTCCAACATAACGGTCAATTCTTTGGTTTGGCCAATTTAGCTACTTTGATCCATAGTTGAGGCCACGATGTTACATATCGAAAAGATCAGTCAGGATGTTTAATATATGAAAAAGATAGGGTCATACAATATAGGGCTAATACCACTACAACACCCGAACTATCCGCAAAATGCCACTTGTGTCCTATTTTATTCAATATTCCATTCATATCCCGACATATGATATTTTGTGACATTTGTATCCTGACATTTTCGTTGACCGTTAAAGATAACAGTTGACCAGACGGTGGTCAAAGTGATGGTTGACTTTTGATGATGTGGCAAAAATCAAACAGCCACATAGACGCCACGTCATTGCCACATGGATTATTTTTAATAAAATTAAGTCAAAATAAAAAATGTAATATAATATATAAAAATAAAAAATAAAAAAATTAAATTTGCCACATCATTAACTCATAAAATTATTATTTTTAATTAAAAGTAAATTGATTTAAAAATAAAAACAATAAAAATATTCTAAAAATACAAAACTCCCCATTTAGATTTGTTCTTCGAGAGGAACCCAGATCAGGGACCAAATCTTTAATTTATCTTGCGTCAGAAATGCAACCCGGCGATATCTTCTCCTCCACCTCCTCTCCATCTCCGTTTTCGTTTCCAGCGAAGAGCCAGAGCAATCCACTCTGCTTTGATTTCTGTTTGCCTTCTTCGAGATCCATAATCGGTGGCGGCGTCTTCCGTCACAGGCGACGACGGATTACTTCTAGCGGATGAGGATTCTCCTCTTCCAGGAAACCTGAAAACAATGATGGCGGCGCTATGGGGATCCAATTTGCTTGGATATGGGAGAATTGAACCTACGCGACATTCCGATCTATCTTGCCATTTCAATTTCGAGCTTCCACTCCATCTCCGACCTCTATTGGAGCTTTGGTACGAGGGATTTCGCCGGAGTTTGATTCACAATCGACGATGAACGACAGGGGATTTTGCCGGAGTTCGATTCACAATCGACGATGGAGGTTGATGGGGAAATATGAGAAGGAACCAGAGCTGGGTAGAGACTTGTTGTGGGGATTGGGGGTAGAGAAATTAGGTTTGCGGAGACCAGAGGGAGAGGAGTGAGGAGACGAGAGGGTTAGGGGTGGGGGTGGGTAGAGAAATACGTTTTTTATTTTAATTATTTTTAAGTGGCATAAAAAAATAAATGTAAATTGAATTTAAAATTCCACGTCGTATGACACTTCAGCGCTGACTAGATTTTCTGTTAAATGTTAACGGTCAACGCCGGTCAAAATTAACGGGAAAATAGTTCAGGACAGAAATGGAATATTGAATAAAATAGGATACAAGTGGCATTTTTCGGATAGTTTGGGTGTTGTAGTGGTATTAGCCCTACAATATATTAATCTTAATAGTAACATCCTAAATAGTTTAAAAATGACTATAGTTTACAAATATTTTCGAATACAAGGCTATATCATGGGTGATAAATTTGACAATGTAAGTTAGCTTATCATACAGGTTCGTAAAAAAAAAAAAAAAAAGAGAATCCACTTTAAGTGAAATCCTGACTAAGTCCAATCAAATTTGTAAGTTACTTATTATGTCTTATATCATGCAATCTATTGTAATTAAACATTTTTGGCTTGGTGAAGAAAAAATAGGCAAAATACACTTGTATAGCCAAAACTTTTGCGTTTTTGCCAATAATAGCCAAATTTGGAGAAATACCACTTATAGCCACTTCTATCCAATTCTTTAACGGTGTTAACGTTAAGTATGTCTGGACAAACGGAGATGCTTACATGGCGAGCTCTTATTTCCAATTTCGTTTGTAAATATCCACATGGATAATCATTCAATTAAAAAATTATGGGATAAAAACGGAAAAGCCCACTCTGCTCCCACCTCCTAACTCTCCGCCTTCTTCTTCCCCTCCCCGTCTTCCCCACTGCTCCTACCGGAGCTGGTTCTCGGACTCCCTCTATGTGGAAGTAGCGAGGGTTCCTCGAAAACGGATTCCCCGATTTTCGGGCAAAACAAATAGTTTCATTAGGGCACCCTTGTTTTCCCGACGATGGTGATGACTGATGACCTTCGTCCCTTGTCTTCCAGATCTGAAGGATTCTTCTTCTTCCTTGGATCGAAGACCTATCAGAGGATTCCCGGCGTTGCGTCTCTCCCCTGCCTTACCGGGATTGAAGACGACGCAAGAGCTGGAGAGGTTGGAGAATCCATGGAGGAATCAGAAAAGTGGAATTAACGCCGGAATTGTGTCGAACGAGTAGACACAGCTTCACCGACGCAAATTTCTTCACGGCTAGCAAGCGCATCTCTAACCCGTCCTTCGCCACTCCGATGAACGATAACCTACTCCTCCTGGCTCTCTTAAACTCGTTCCGTGGGAGGGGGAATATTGTTCCGGGACGAGAAACGATGGCTGGTTGTTGAGAAACTCGTTCCGCGAACAGATCTACAATGGTGGATGTGAGCAGATCGGTGAGAGAGAGAGATCAATGTTTATGTACCTTTTATCCTTCCTTTTTGCTGGAGAAAATTGCACATATGAAGATGGAATTTGTTCAAATGGTTCGGCGAGGAGAAGTTGTGTTCAGATTGAACCGGTGAGAGCTGGAGTGAAGAGGCGAAAGGAGGGAAATGTGTAGGTTCAGGAAGGAGCTGAATCTGAACAAGAAGTGTCGGTTCATTGCCCTGTTGAAGATATTCCCTATCGTGTTTGAGATTGTGAAGGAAGGCGCTTAATTGTTGCAGTTTAGAAGAGGCTGCATTTTGAGGAGCTGAAGGTTAGGAACGAAATGGAGGATCTGCTGGTTTTGAAGTTGAGGAAATTGTTGATGATGTCTCTGGAAAAGAGGATCTTGCTTGAGAAAATTGCACATCTGAAGACTAATTTAGAGCTTCATAGGAATTTCCTGATATGATTTGTCGTAGGTACCCACAGTACTTCATAGTTGTTCCAACCGAGCGGGAGCCTGCATAACTCACTGGGATCCAGAGCTTGTTGTATTGGCTTTGGAGTTATCTGTCGAGGAGAAGCGGGCTATAGAGCTTGAAGAGAAGGCTTTGATCTACAATGGTGGATTAGGAATTTTTTTGTTAGGGGTTAAAAGATGGTTAGATGAGAGAGACGGGAGGAAGAGAGTCTTCTGACTCCAATTTTTTTTAAATTAAAAATATGACGTGGCGATTACGTGACATGTGAGTCTAGGTGGACATGACGTGTCGTCCAAATGGAGGCCACATAAGCATAACGTTCACTTAAACTAACGGGAGTTAGAGACGGTGTTAAAGTATTTGACGGAAATGGCTATATTTGTCATACAAGTTCAAAAAATGTGGCTATAAGTGGTATTTCTCCAAATTTGGCTATTATTGGCACAAACACGAAAGTTTTGGCTATATACATGTATTTTGCCGAAAAAATAAGAAGGGTTTCAAATCTAGGATGGTGAATACTTCGAAAAATTGTCTTGTTTTTTTAATGTTACGAGTCTCTTTGATACTCAAGTTAATATGAGAGAAATAGGTTAAATTTCAAATCATGTGTAGTACCAACATTATAAGTGTTTGAGCGAGATTGAAGAGAACTAGTAAGAGGGTGGTTTTAAGTCCTACCGACGATATTCATCTTAAATTTTAACAAACTTTACATATAATTTACCTATATTTCAAAGTTAGGGGCTACACCTCCTCTCAGCTTCAACCTCCTCCAGTGAGTCACCCTGTGTTTCATTCCCTCTCCTTGGAGTTGTGCGTAGCACTTCTGGGTGGCGTTGGAATCAATCGTGGTAACATTCACTTTGTTATATGGGATCTTACTGATGCGTACAAGAATTTCGGTTGCCCTTTTCCTATTTTGGCTATTTTTTCATTATTAATTGTCGGGATAATCTTTCATTATTGTTTCGTTTAAGATTATCCCGATGTGAGAAATGACGTCGTCCTTGCCCCCAGGTCCGATCGGGGATGCCGTGGGGCAGTCTAGCCTTCGATGACGAAGACGGCGGGCCCACTAGGTTGATCCTGAAGATAGACGAATGACCGCGACATGAGACCAGGGATGACGGTGGCATGGGATCGAAGGAGGAATGGACGGGACCGTAGGACGCAAGTTTCCGGGCTGTCGTCGGGAAGGGCAACGAGACAGGCCGACCCCAGAGCCGACTAGACCTCGCGATGACCCAACCAGGCGAGCCCTGGAGGTGGCCAAGGACGACGCTGGAGTCCGGAAGACGGGAGGGCCAATCCGAGACCAAGCCGAATGGTCCGACCATGCAGGAGCTCGAGAACCGGGACTTCGGAAAGGCCGGGGAGAGTGACGAGGCAACTGCTGCTCTGTTCCGGGGTCGAACGGTGACACTGAAATTCCCTAAGTTCACCGGGCAGGAGGATCTGTCAGGTTGGATGGCACGGGTTGAAAAGTACCTTCGGTACCAGGATATTTCGGAAGAACACAAGGTGACTCTCGCGTCATTCCACATGGAGGATGACGCGAATCAATGGCTTGTGTGGATCGAAGAAGAGTTCACACAAAGCGGGATGGATATGACGTGTGAGGACTTCCGTGCCGAGTTCTGGAAAAGGTACGGGTCAACTGATAAGGCTGTCGAGCATGAGGCTCTTGCAAAAATTCGACAGACAGGGAGCGTGGAGGACTACCAACAGGCTTTCGAGAGATTGTTGAACCGTTGTCGGGGGTGTAGCAAGGAAGCAGTAATGGGAACTTCTATGGGAGGACTCAAGCCGGAGATTTCAGCATACATCCGTGCATTTGAGCCACACAACACCAGGGAGGCGAATCGTTTGGAAAAAAATTCGCGAGGAGGAGATCAGGATCTAGCGCGGAGCTGTGAGAGGCGCAACACGGGGAACCGTGGTGGCTCCTCACGAGGCTTCTCCCGCGCCAGCTCTGGTGCAGGCACCCGCTCCCGCACCACCGAATCGGGGACCACCGCCGGCTCGGAGGAGGGTCATTTGCCACTTGACACCTGAGAGTCAGACTCTCATCATCAGCCTGCTTAAAAGTAACAATCTCTTCTTGCCTCTTCATTGCCAAGGCAGGTGGGAAGTATTTATCCAGAAAGACATTCTCAAGCTGAGCCCATGTCGTGATGGAATGTGGTGTTAAGTTCTGAAACCAGTGTGATGCATTCCCTATCAGAGAGAATGAGAACATCCGAAGACTAATTGCATCATCAGACACAGTTGGGCTCTTCATCGTATCACATATGCTCGCGAACCGACGGAGATGTTCGTGAGGATCCTCATTGCTAGCCCCGGATAAAGTATATCCATTGGTGATCATATTGATGAATGCAGGGTAATTTCCATGGTTGCATCCCCAGCCGGAATGACAACACATGAAGCTCGGGCTCCAGTCCGTCGATTCAAACGAGCCCTGATCGATCGATCCTCGTCTGCCATGATGTCTGGCTCAATGTCACGAGGTGGTGGTGTCGGTGGTGTAGGGACGACAGGTGATGAAGCCTGCCCTCTCTGTTGACGATTCTTGGTTAGGGAAGGCCTAGGATTTGTGGTTATGGTAGGCTGCTTCCCTAACTTGACCTGCTTCCTGTTCTGTCGGCAGGTCTTCTCGATCTCCGGATCTAGTGGCAGTAAATTGCTGATCGTCCTCCTTGGCAATGCACGAGGAGGATAAACCTGAAAAATTCACCTGCACACTAACACCCAGATTAAAATAGTTTACTCACAAAAATCAGCAAAAATAAGGTATGGCAGTCCCCGGCAACGGCGCCAAAAACTTGATAGGGCAAAAGCGTATTGCTTCAATTCCTATCTCGTAGTAAAACCGAAAAGTCCGGGTATCGTCTCTCAGGGACTGGTACAACCTTTTATTTTATCAATTTATAGAGCAAACTATAGGTGAAAATGGTTTAATGAGACTAATTATCTAAAAGCAAAATAAACTATACAAATTAAGCAAATGAAAACTGTCAGGAGAAATTCAATGGAGAAAGCTCTGGGAGAAACACCGTGACTCACTACCTATCATATCCAAATTAATTCACATATTCCAATCAATTTAATCCATATCTCAACAGCCAGGATATCTCTACTGTGCTAGCTATCCCTGTCGGGAATTACTACGTACTAAACAATTAAATCAAATCCTATTGTCGTAGCTCAATGAGTTAATTATTTAGCCTGGAGAACGATATCCCAATCAAGACCGCATAGTACCTTATTTAATCCACTGTCGCTTCGATAAGTTATTATGTCACATGAAATAGGTTCAGTTATTAGGGTTTCACTATCGCTAATAACCTAATTAACTACAAATAAATGTATTGGTTGCCAGTCAACACAAAGCATTAAGTAATTTCATGCAATAGAGATTGGAAGAAAAGAAATACGAATCAATCCATCAAATCTAGAAATAGCTACATCCTATGGTGTTTCCCCTAGAAATTGGGGTTTAGTTCATGACGAAATAAAATAAACAATCATGTTCATAATCATCATGTTACGAAGCAAAGTAAAAGAAAACAAATACTGATAATTGCTTCCCGCTGCTCTGCACTCGATCGCCGCAACAAGCTGCTCGCTCCGCCCAAAAAGAATTCTCGTCCCAGCCTTTCTTTTTTTCCTCCGTCCCAAATATTGCTTCCCTTTGCAAATCCTCTGTTCCCCAAAATTATTACCCAGTCGACCTCCCTTCCAAGCTTCCGTCACTCTCTGCAATTCTCTCTCCCCAAAAATAATAAACCTCCTCCTATAATTCCGCCTTCTACGCCTTTTTAAGTCTCTGTCCAAAAAGAAATCCTCTCCCCTTCAAAATTAAATCCGCCGCCTTGCCCTGGTCCAATTAACTTCGTGCTTTGCTAGGAAATAAATAGAATGGGCCTTTGGCCCATGGTCAATTTGCCTAGGGAAAACTTCCTCCTGTCACCGGTCCAAGTTTAATCAAATAGTGGCCTTTCAAATTAGTCCACTCCCGGTTTGATTGTGCTCTTTCCTATCTGCATATGCTTCCATCCTCTTTTGTTTTTCCACCTAAAATATATCACAATACTAACATATGGCGGTAATGGTCTTACAACCATTTCAGAGTCAGTTGGCATTAAGACGAGCAATATATGTCTCAAACGTATCATGAAATAATCACATTAAGCACATGAAATCAATATGTTTTCGACAATTATCATTTTCATTTCCTCTTCTATCTTCAAACTCTATATGGTAATAAGTAATAACATCAACAGGAGACCACTTTACAAAGCTTTCTCAAAATTAAACATCAACATTGTGAGAAAGAAAGAAAGAGACCTATAGTATGAAGATGCAACTTCGCCCCTCGATCAACGTTTTCTTTCCATGCTTTGGATCCTTCTAAACCGGTAATAAAAAGCGATATAAGCTTCTATTTCACTTTAAAAGAAAGTTGACCAGAAGAGAAGCATCATGACACGAGATTGAGAGGACATAGCTATATACCTGGTAATTCTGGACTGATTGGGAAGAGCTTCTTACGGGACTTCTTCCCATTCCAATCAAACATATGAAAGAACCCTCCTTTTGAACGCTTCCTCTCCTCCTCCATTCTCTTCTATACAACCTGAATCTATTCACCACAATAGCCAGCAAAACGTCAGATCTCAATTCAGCTCCAAACTTGAAGGAAAGATTGTGGCTTTGTGACACAGAAGCAAGAAACTGCATCAGCATTGCCCACCCAACGAGGAAAAAAAAAGGAGCAAATCAGTCAAATTCAAGCTGCCAATCGCCAGAAACCAAACCCCACATGCAACTCCATGGAAATCTCTAGTTACCAAGAAATGCATTGACTGGAGTGGGGGAGTTCAAAGCTTTAACCCATTATCATTTACCATGGAAGCCCGAAATCTTACCCCAAATTTGCTAAGTAACGTGGGTACTCCCAGAGCGCAGCTCTTCTCTTTGTGGTACAAAGAGCGGATCATCCGATTCCCGACCCAGAACGTTAAACCACACAAAGACGCGAACTTTTAAGCCCGCTGCGAGGAAGTTTCACCGGCGAGAAATAGAATCCTCCCTACTCTCTCATACACACACTGTCAAAGTTCCAAAACAGGGGCGAAATCGCTACCAAGACATGAAGTCGTGTTAAAACTTAAAACTTAAAAGAAGAGCAGAGAGGCCCACATGAGAGGACACGAAAAGGGGGAAAAATGGGGTGACACGACCGAAAACTCAAATGAGAAAGGGAGACTGATGGGTGAGGGAAAAAAACTGCTACAGGGAATGGGTCCAAAAAAAATTAGGTAAAAGAATCAGTGAGGTTAAATGTGCCAGCCGAACAGAGAGAGGAGAGGGATGTATCTGTTTGCGAGTTAATAAAATCTGTGGGAGGAGGAGAGAGACACCGTCAAGCTATCAATGTCAGAGGCAGAAAGAGAGAGCCAGCGAGGAGTCAAAAGAGTGAAGGTAAGGGAAGAGAGAGAGACAGAGAAGGAAGGAGGCTCGCTCTCGGCGTTACATCTCTCGTAGTTCCTGTGAAATGAAATCTCAAATCTGCAAAGGGGGAAAAAGAAAATAGATAATAGCGGGTAAGAAAAAATAAAAAAGTGAACTTTCATCTGTGGGCCCAACTATGCTACGTTTCGAGTGCGATTGGGTTTTGGGTCTGGGGAACTGAAACTCTTGCTCACAGGACTGGGGTTTGTACTTTGTTCATGAAATTATCAAGAGGATCATTTCGGGGACATCTAATTAAAACAAGTTATTTGCAAACACACGGTTCCTGTGCACCAAGACTGAGTTTACTGTGGGCCTAGACTCGAAATTCCTGTTCATTTAGACTCAAAATTACTATTCACCCTCCTCCTATTGGTTCCTGGTCTGCGATTGGGCCCGACCGCCTTTTCTTATTGGCTGCCCGGCGGTTTTGCCCTCTGTTGTTGCTGTGGACATCACGTGGCCCTCGAATCCCCCTTCATATTCACTTCTTCTCTCTTTATCTCTCTCGATCATTCTCTCCTTCAAATCACATGTGATTCCCTCTGCCCGAGAATTTTTGGGAACGTCACCACTGTGAGGAGGGAAGACTACTGCTGATGGACACGTGCCCCTCGAATCCCCCTTCATATTTACTTCTTCTCTCTTTATCTCTCTCGATCCTTCTCTCCTTCAAATCGCATGTGATTCCCTCTGCCCGATAATTTTTGGGAACTTCACCACTGTGAGGAGTGTGATGGAGACTGGGCGGCTGAGGGAGAGAGCAGATTGGGCAATGATGAGAAAGAAAGCAGAAAAGGCGAGGGGATTCACTCGCAGTCCTTCTCCCACTCCCTTCTCTCTGCTCTGTGGCTCCGAGCAAAACCTCAGACACACCAAGCCCGTCGGGATGGCTCACTTGATCGGAAGCAGCAACAGTGGCATCTGCAGATCCCAAGGGGATTCCAGGTTTACAGTCGTCGGTCTTTCTCATGAACCCCAACTTCCTCATCTCTCTCTATTCTAAATTTTGTTGACCCGGCCCGGAGAGCAACCGTCGCCGGCGTTCGATCGCTGTTCTCGCCACATATTTTCGCCCGTTTTTCCTGGGATTGGTTGGCGGACATGGGAGTTCCACTCATGATGCTGAACAGAACCGGATCTGCTTAGCTTTTTGCCCTTTTATTCTTTCAGTCCCTTTTGTTATGGATGAGCAGGTCATTCATTTTTTCCTTTAAGGTTTTCCTCAGGTTTTTCTTCTCTTTCCCTCGAAGATGGGGTGGATTTGGCGTGATCAATGGGCGGATTTTACAGGCATGAGAAAGTTTTGCAGAGTCCCAGATCTTCGAGTGCTCTTTGTCGGAAGATTATGGACGCTGGCAGGTACTATCTCTTCTGTTTTTTTTGTTCCTCTCTCTCGGTTTCTTTGGGTTGTAGCAGATTGAATCTCAGCTCTCTTCACTTTGGTCACATGGACACTTTTGTTCGTCAGGTGCATTTTAGATGATTCGTTGGTAGGTTAGGCCCATTGCTTTTTATGCTTAATTCATGTTTCATTCATGCGTGACCTTCGTGTCTTGATTTTGTCTATTTTAATTTTTTTGGTTATGTAGGGAGCCAGCTCACAGTTATCTGCCTACGCCATCACTGCTTCGTGGATTCGGGTATTGGTTTAAGGTGATTGTTCTAGCTCTTTCAACTGGGTTTGTTTTCTGATTTCGATTTGTTGTTTGATTCTCCCGGAAACTTTTCTCCGCTGAAAAGCTCTATCAAGTTGTTTCTCTCCCATTCTCACCTGCGACTGCGAGCACCAGAATCGGAGAGGAGAGGAAATTGAAAAGATGGCTCAAGCCTTTCCATAAAATGTGAGTTGATCGGTGTGTAACCATCACATTGTAAGGTGGGAATTTGATGGTTTTTCTTTCTCTCTTTACTGTGGTGTTTATTTTTCCCCAGCTTAGTTTGTAATATATCTCTTTTCTAATCTAATGTATGTAGATATTTTGTTGGTCGACGGTAGTTGTTGAACCTCAGTTAGAGGCAGAGGATGCTCGAAAATATATTTAGGGTGAGCTTTCCCTCTTTCTCTTCTCCAATACTGTTTGAGTAACTCCACCTCTTACTCTGGTTCTTTTATGTCTCACTTTCTTAGTCGTGTTTATGAAGCATTCTCCTCATTGTGTGTGCGTTCATTTGAGCCCGTGAAGTTGTGTTTGCCAGAGCTAAAATAATTGGATTTGTGCTGATTTCCCAACCTTATTAATGCATTATGGGAAAGCACGTGCAACTGCAGCTCGGGTTGATCAAGTGGTGCCTTTTGGTTCAGGTGGCGGGGAGGACACCGTATTATTTAGGCAGTTCACCTTAACTTTACACCTATAAGTGTATATATATCCCCTCGAGTTCCAGTGTTCTTGACTCAATCATGGGTGGATGAAGATATGCAAAGCACTTCAGGTTGCAACAATTTTTTCCTGTGTTGGCATCCAATTATATGAAAAAATTACTTCATTGTGTCGTCTCAGTTGTTTCTTAATCTATTCATATAAGTTTCTGCTGTTTAATTATCATCACTAATATTTGATAATCCTCTTCTTTCTCTCTGTCTTGCAGGCATGAGTTGTTGACTGGTGTCAGTTGTCTGGCGAACATTTCAAGGCTCTATTGCTTCTATGATATGTTCACAATTGCTGCTGATTTTGATATTGTGCATTACAAAAGTAAGAAATTTGACTGCTTGTTGTATTTTATGTACTAAAATTGAAGGTACAAGCTATTGCTTAGTCTGTTTTATGTATGATGTTAATCATTTGATGATTTTGGATGATGATTCAGTTGGCCTATCATACTTTCATTAAGTATCATTTGGGAGTTTCATTTACTATAGCCAGTTCAAAGATTCCACATCAGTTGATAACTGATATCATGTCTTGCAGATGGAATCAAACCATAGTTATGGTTCTGCTTAAGTTCGCATGGATTTGCAGCTATATAGCTTATGTAGACCATCATTATATTGTTTGCATTATATATCTCTTATTTATGATAGCTTATTATATTTTACAAATGGAATAGATGTTTAGCAGCAGGTTGAAGGTAGATTGAGGCCTTGACAAGCCTAGGCAATTTTCAGTAACCATTTCGATGATTTTATTAGTACACCAGAACTGTTGTATGTTCAATTATAGATGACCTCTGTATATTTTCCTGCAGATTGCTGAAGTTCTCTTGAATAGGGTTGAAGCTCCCACAGTTCAGAGATGAACCACACTGTTCTAAGGAGGGTTAATTTTGATCTCTACAAGTATTGCACTAAGACCTTTCTTTTGGTCATTTGCTTATATTATTATCAACACATCAGCTCTGAAAACATCACCAATGTACAATCCATGCAATTGCAAAGTATCACTATGTGTCATGGTGTGTAAATAATTGATCGGTGCTTTGCTTATATATTTTTAATTATTGAATTCACTAGGCAGGTTAGATAATTCTAATGTCATTCATAAGTACCGTAGTACGGCGCAAATACTAAATTTCCACAATTATTTTAAAAAAAATTGAAACGCTTGTCCTAACGCCGAGCGCAGGCCAAGAATAATAGTTGTTTCCATTTGTACGCTCCCCAACTCTGTATTAACTTTGCGTTACGACAACAGAAGATTACACAGGTGAAACGTATCCCGCAGCATAGCGCAGGCTGATTACTAGTAAAATTAAACAATACAGATAAAATTAGCATAACCTTTGTGCAAGAATGTCATGGCTAAAACGATAAATTATCAGGAGGAAAAATTCAAATTTTGGAAGGTTTTATCATCTTGCCAACATACAAGTTACAACTTACCACAACTTGGACAGCTCAACTAGAGTAAAATATTAGGGTGGGCTAGCAGCTTTTACTGCCAGAATATGTAAATAAATTAGTAAAGATGAACCATCAAGAAAGGAAAACCAGTCAAAGATTGTAGGAATCATGGTTATAAAATTGGTTTACCAAGCCTTATGTGAATTGGAGACTCAGAGCTCGAAACGAGTTTGAAAGGTTACCTATTCAAACTATCTTGCATAAGTGTACTAATCCAAATTTTCTCGTGGTAGCTCGTGATTTGAATGTCCAGTATTGAAGGGTTCATCTCGTAAACTTGGACAAAACAATTTACATAACAATTTACATAGACGGGTTTATCTTGCTCCATCAATGGTTTCTACTTCAACAAAATACTTCGTTCATTTTGCTATACAAGCAATCAAAACCGACGGAATTTATGCCTTGGAATCCACTACTCAACTACATTATATAATGGATTGTGGAATCCCTTGAAACAGCTAAAATGCCAACAACTACCTCAGAGCAACTGTTTGTATGTCGACATTGCTTGGACCACAGAAACACAAATTCATTACAGAAATGGATAGGGAGGGGGAAGAAGAGAATAACAAAAAAAAACCCTAATTTGTGAAGTTTGATTGGAGATTGGGTTATCTTATGCCATACACAGCCAATATAGTACAATAATAAATTCCAACACAGTAACTGTCTTCGAAATTATGTTTGGAAGAAACAAATTAGCACTACCTGCTAATTTTGGTTTGTCAGAATCTGTATCTTTCACCTGCTATGTCTGAATAATCAACCACATAGTCCAAGCCAAATGTAAACAGACAACTGCAGACATTTGGTTCATATTCATATTTAGGGATAGTTTGGAGGTTGTAATTATTAGAATTGTGTTTGTTGAATACATATATTGTGCACAATACAATGTTTGAAAGTGTCAAAGTGTTAAACAATGCATGCATTGTTTTAGATAGGTCCCACCAATAATCACAAAAAATGATGCATTATACAATCTCAACTAAAAGTTGTGATTATTGTGATTGTTTGTTTTAGATTTGTGTCAACTTTGTCTTTCCATATATATCCCCAATAGTTTTTGTCTTATTCTAAAAGTTGAGTGTAAATGTGACATTTCCCATAAAAGTAATTTTATGTAAATCAATGCATAAAGTAGAATTTCAACAACCAAACAATGTATTGTTAAATTGCATACATTGTATCAATATATGCATTTATATTATGGTGATTCATTACAATGCAACGATTTAACATTCACAACTTTCAAACGACCCCTTAATTATTGGCATTTGAATGATTGAACATTTTGAACATTATCGACCAAAAAAACATTTTGAAAATTGAATTTAATTATTGGCATTTGGACGATTGAACATTTTGAACATTATCGACCAAAAAAAAAACATTTTGAAAATTGAATTGGATGAAATTTTTTGGCTCAATTGTATCAAAATGAAGCAACAAGAAACACATAATAGGGATGCATCATTCGATCTGACTATTTGAATTGTTTCGTTTTGCATAAATTTGAATTGATAGAAGAAGAGGCAAATATTTTGAAGGGATGCATCAATTATTAGATGAGATAATTACTAATTAACTGAATCAAATTTGCTCAAATCCATCCGTACAAACAACCCCAAATGATTTCTATGAATTCTGTGAATTTCAAGGATCCTGTGGGATCAGAGGATCTGGCGTTTCTTGCCCACATTCACACACAAAAAATGAAGTTAGGTGATATCCTCCAAGAGTAGAGTACAAATGAAACGAAAGCAAGGGACAAAAAATGATCCAATATGACAAAATCATTGTTCTTCACTAAAGAACAGTTATTTGGGATTTTATAATACGATTACTAGTTGGAATGCATATGGGGTTTTGATTGCATGTTTTGCTTACTTCAAAGGATGCTGGTTATGTTGACACAAATGATAAAATATTGGGTTGTTGACATGTCAAGCTCTCACACAATTCAGGGGAATATGAAAAACACCAATAATGAGAAATTGCTGAAATGATTCGTGTGAAGTCTTAAATCACTCCATAGATCTCAGAGAACAATAAGTTTGGAGGTACAGAAGAAAAGATTTGGCTTTACGCTTAAATACGGAAAGCAAGTTGACTCGTAAAGAAATTGAGCAAGTTTCTATTAGAGTACCAGCAGATGTCCATACCAGCTTGCTTGAAGATAAGTCGAAGGGGAGAGCAGTCAATTCTAGGACAGTTTGGATAGAAATGAACATTGCATCAACCATTTCAGAGATAGCTTCAAGTTGAGCAAAGCACCAGGTTGGAAGACCCGCTCAAGACTGGCTTAACCTTCCTGTGAAGAAAGTAACAGAGGGTACACAAATTATGAATTCACATTATCCATCGTTTGTTGGGACGAAAAATGGTTCCTTATCGAAGGGCTACCAGTGGAAGTTGGAGGTTTCGGCTTACCTCAGACAGTAGACCTTTCCATAAGTAGAGGAATGGGTTCGGGTCTTGCTTTCTGCAGTTTAAATAATCAATAGCAAAGCATGCACATATGTTCTTTGTCTGCCATTAGCCATTTTTCTTCATGTTCACGTACCGGTAAGTCGTGATGGAAGTAAGGCCCCGAAGAAAATGAGATGACTTCGGCCTCAGCTAACGTGTCATGAGGGTGTCTTGAGACAGTTGTCGCAGGGGTTAGAGCTAATTTTGCAGGCTTTTCTGTCAAATGATTCTCCAAAGTGTTCCAGCAACGCTTGTCTGCGACATTCGCCCTGCATATTGAGATAACGAAAGGTAATGAGGCAAGCAAGCGATGCAAAGAAGGATGTCGAAGCAAGGTATAAACGAACTTCACGATGCCTATGAGGCTAATTACTAACCTTAAGTTCACAATAATCGCGCATCTTTCTTGCTTGAGCCATTGCTGTCGTGAAAGTGTCTTTATGAAATCTTTGTCCATTCCTTAACATACAGACAACCCTGCTGAAATCCTTCTTGTGGAATAGGGCAATGCACACAGCAGGGAGATTATCCCTCCCAGCTCTTCCAGCTTCTTGATAATAGCTTTCGATTGATTTGGACAGTGTGTTGTGAATAACAAAGCGCTGGTAGACAAAGACAGAAGGCAGTTTCCAATCTTTAATCAGCAACGGGTAATTTTTTTACAAATGCAGTCTAGATTGATTTTTCAGTTTATGACACAGTTTTGTGTACAAATGCACTGAATCAGATAATGTTTTTACAAAAACACCTCAGACGATAGCATGCAAAATAAACAACATACAATTGAGACAAATAACATTGATTTATAGATTATATCGAACAAAAATAAATTATGATCAAAAGGTGCGCTGCAGAAAATCCGATGAAAAATGTGCCGAAAGACTGCAGGTCTCACTACACTGCAAAAAAGTAAAATTCAAGCCAGAACTTACCACATCAGGTTTGTCTATCCCCATCCCAAAAGCAATCGTTGCACAGACAATTTGTACCACTCCAGTGTGCCATTTCCTTTGCACCTCAACTCTTTGGCGAGCGGCAAGACCAGCATGGTAATACGACGTCTTAATCTTGCACTTGTCGTTCAAGAAGTTTGAAACCTCAACACATTCGTTCTTAGACAGGCAGTATACTATTCCACATTGATTTTTGAAGCGATCGGTGATGAGCTGTCCAAGCTGTTTTAGTGCGTCCTTATCTTTGGCAACGACTTCATACTTTAAGTTAGGCCTGTCGAAGCTTGTTTCAAGGACAAGAGCACGTTCAATTCTTAAAGCTTTTAGTATGTCCTGCATCATTACCAAAGTAATGAGATGAATGCATTTCTATTGGAAACTCTAAAGATAGACAACTTGCAATCCCACTACCTCGCGGACTGGATGGGTTGCTGTGGCTGTTAAAGCCATAACTGGGACATTTGAAAAGTTCTGTTTGAGACGTCCCAACTCCCTGTAGTCGGGGCGAAAATCATGTCCCCACTGACTGCCATGTAGAATTTAAGGAATTAATGGCATATTTACTGATTTTAACTATATACGCGTTTATATAGATTACAAAAGCATAATATCGGAAGAAGGATATAGAGTTGACTTCCACAAAAAGGCTACCATATATTTGGATGATCGAGACCATAACTATAGTCTAACATATGTCTAACATGGCAAGCATTCTGAGACCCATAGTCAAGTCACCGAAAGGTTTTTTCCATGTTCATATTGTCCAAGTCAGCAAATAAATCCCTGGATGTTACAAGGAATTGATGCTTATAGAACTTCAAAATGCAATGCATTTGAACAGACAAGGACAAAACCTAAAAAGAGAAGTGCTGAAGGGCTTACCTAACACAATGGGCTTCATCGACTACAAAACCTGCAAGCTGGCCCTGTGATTATAGGAGCATTGGTTACCTGCCGTTACAAATGTGTTGTTGGGTATAAGATTTGATCAGTTCACTCGGAAAAATTTACCTTCCGGTGCAAGCATTTGAGGGTTTCGAAAAATGAGGCATTTCCAGCAATCCTCTCCGGAGTTACATATAAGAGTTTGCATGATGGTTTGTCTTTCCTGAAGGTGAACAACGGGAAAGCAAATCTTGATCAAAAGGATGAGAAATCATTTGGCTAGCCAAAAAGAGGAAGACAACTGGTTCGAAGAGTAGAACACACTAGTCCATTGTAAGCATAAGGGTAAACTTGCCTTAGTTCTTGGAGGATTGCGGCTGCCTGAGCAGAAGTTTGCTGAGAATTGAGGAAAGTTGCAGGTATCCCAAACTTAAGGTTTAATGTAATGATCTGGTCCTGGATGAGGGACAGCAATGGAGATATAACTACTGTAACGCCTGGTTTCAGAGTGGCTGGTAGCTGCACAGTTGTAAGGGAGGTAAAAAACGTCAAGACAAAAGGCAAAGCAGCTGCAAAAACATGCCAGCTAGCTAACAAGCCGAGTAATTACATATCCAGCAAATGTAGTATCATAGAAACACAGAAACTAATTACCTGGTAGCAAAGACTTTTACCACCTCCAGTGGGCATTAGAACAAAGCAGTCTCGTTTCTCCAACGTTGCTCTACAAGCCTGATGCTGCAACGGACGAAAAGCCTTGTTCCCAAATATGACAGCATTCGCCAATTCAATGTCATCCAGTCGTTGCAGTTGTTCATAACTCAGAGTCCCATGTCCACCCTTTGACACGGCAGGGGGCTGCTTCTTGCTGCCACCTGATGCAACTGAACCTTGGGTAGCAGTGCCCTTATAATCATTCAATACAATAAAACCAAAACTTGTCAGTTCGACAGCTAGCCTCGGAAACCTCACCCATGACCCAATCAACAAGATCCAAGCAATCACTGGAAAAGCAGGCCCGATAAGAGCCTCCACTCTAATTAATTGATCAGAATTATTCTTACGGTCAAAATTAAAACAAACTAAAGTTGTGATTCCACAATTTGCAGGGCAACTGAACTCGTCAATCTCTCCATTAAAAACAAGATCCCCAGCGAATCGACAAAGCGTGGACACTGTGAGGGCCAAAATGCAAGATAATAGAAGCCATTCAATCCCATTCAGTTCAGAATCGAAACACTAGCTGAGAGAGATCTTCTTACCCTCGATACAGAAGAGCGGCCGAGCGAGGAAGCAGTTACAGAACTCTTTTCACCGGACATGCAAAAATCAGGATCTTCATCGCTATCACTTGTTGACAAGTCAAGCTCCATGAAATCGTGCCGCCTCTCCTTCTGAGGCGAGTCGTCGCTGAGATTGATGTAGTAGCCGTTCGCAATAGAACCACTCGCCTTGCTATCGTTCGGCTCTCGAGCAGTGTTATTATCCTCATCGAACATGTCATTCAAGGTGCCGCAAGCTTCGGATTCGACAGCTCGCAAGTCGTCGTCCCAGTCCTCGGCATCCTCCATGGACGCGGCCAGCGCCGCGAGGAAATCGTCGCCGCAGCACTCCACGGTGACAAAATCTTTCCCATCGTCGCCTTCACGTGCACAAAAAAGGTCGAATAAAGAGAATTATAAACGAAGGAACGGCGGAGAGGCGGAGTGGAGGCCGTCGAAGGGAGAAATCGTTACCGTAGAGTGAAATCAAACGGTCCAGGCACCTGTTGGCCGACTGCTCGTCGAAGCCGAGATCCAGCGCCAAGCTTAGAAATCTTGCTTTCTCCAGCTCCTGATCTCGCCCGACCATTTTCTTGCCTACGACCTCGAACTGCCTGTTCAGATAATTTCTAGAGCGTAGACGAAGATAGAAAGTTGGAATTCGAAAATGGCGATCGGGGGCGAACTGAAAGTTAAAACTGGGAAGAGCGGCATATCTCCCGCTGTTTCTTTTTAATTTTCGGCTCCCGGGTGATAGCGCGAATCGGGCCAGTTTACGGCCCGGCCCATTTCGTATACACTCGAGCCTCCTCGGCCCTTGCTATAGCTCAACAGTTACTGCCTACTGGGCCCACTAATATGGTTAATTACCAATACATCACCCCACTCAGCTTTGTGTGCCAACCGTCACACGAAGCACTGAAGTTGGGTATCATTATCAGAAGTGTATTTGGTCCGATTCAACTCGTCGATGGTGATTCTGTCTGTTTTTTGAGTTTCATTTTGAGGTGTATTTGCAAGTCCGAGATTATTCGAAGAGCTTTTTGTACTATTACACCTCTGACCCTAATACTCACGCTAAGTTGTGATGATGAGTATATAAAAGGGTTTGTAGGCCTTATTGCCGTGTACTACTGCAGCAGATTATTCTGCCAAATCATAATACGAACGACTTAGAATTCACGTTCTCGTGGACTAGTCATGTTCTCACCGAACAGGGAAACCACGTAAATCTCGTGTTGTTTTGTTTTCCGCTTTAAGATTATCGCTATTTTACATGGTATCATAGCAGTGATCGATCGACCATTCACATATGTTTGTAAGCTGCAATCATGAGTGGAGGAGACGACAAAAGCGGCATTAAGGAGGTCGTCACAGACCCCGATTCGATTCCACTCACGTCGCCCTTATACCTCCACTATTTTGAGAATCCTGGTCAATTATTTTGGAGTGATCTCTTGACCAATACAAACTATGGTGAGTGGGTAGGTGATATGATAGAGACCCTCATCGCTAAAAATAAACTCGCGTTTGTTGACGGAAGTTTTCTAAGTTCGAAAGTTGGGACAGGGATCCAAGATGATGCTTGGGTCAGTGTGATGCTACCGTAAAGGGGTGGCTCAAGAATGCCATGAGTAAGGAAATCAGGAACAGTGTTCCTGAGACGCTTTGGGAAGGGATCAGCGAGTCGAGCATATGAGCTGCGAGGCGCCACCAGCTCCCACCGACAAGAGAAACAATCAATCTTCGCCTTCTACACAAAACTGAAGACGTTGTGGGATGAGTTGAACTCGGTTTCCCTTAACCCCCGCTGCACATATTGTGCTTGTACATGTGACATCGAGCGTCAGACAAGGGAGAAGGAGGAGGTAGAACGCCTTTTTGATTTTCTGCTAGGGCTAGACGATGCTTTCAACGTCGTCCGGTCACAAATCTTAAGCATGAAGCCCACAACATCACTTGCAGAGGCTTATCAATTAGTCGCTGGCGAGCAACAACAGTGGTTGATCACAACTGCTCGCAAGCCACCTGTTGAAGCTGTGGCATTTATCACTCGTGGAGATAAATAAACTGAGGAGGATAAGCCACGATGCGCTCATTGCAACAAGTTGAGGCACACCAAAGAGTTGTTTCAAACTCATTGGTTGCCCTCAACACAATGGTAAATGACATTCTAGAGAGCGTGGTGCTGGACCACATCACATCAAAGGGGACAGAGAGAATATGCAGGTTCGGGCAGCCAATGTTGAGAGTGAAGAAAGCCTGGGCCTTTCAGGGGTGCAGTTTGATAAGCTAAAGGAATCTCTTTCCTCTACGTCACCTGCACACATGCGGCTCGAATAACTAATGGTGATAGTATATCAGTCACAGGGGTTGGGAGAGTAACTCTGAATGAGCGTCTTAGACTTGATCGCGTGCTTCATGTGCCCATATTCAAGTGTAATTTACTGTCTGTTAGTCGTCTCACCAAAGATCATGATGTTGCTTTGCTTTTCTTGTCAATCTTTGTGTTATTCAGGTTTTACGCTCCAAGACTATGATTGGAATAGGCCATCTATCTTCAGCAGACTGGGATACAGAGCAAACACGTGATGGGAAGCCCCCGGTCTGAGTTCTTGCCGCGGCGGGGAAGTTGAGTGCAAAGCTCTGGCATGATCGGCTTGGACACCCCTCTCCTGCGAAGCTTTCTCATTTGGAGAACACTATTTTTTTGGCTGATTTTTGTCAAGAAAATCGTCATTGTGATTCTTGTTTACGTGCTAAACAAACTAGAGCACCTTTCGTTTCTCATTCTATCAAAACATAGGCTTGTTTTGACATTGTTCATATGGATATTTGCAGTGGTTATCATACCCCTTTTTTTGATGGATCGTGTTATTTCATTACAGTGATTGATGATTATAGCCGTACCACTTGGGTATACCTTCTTAAGCTTAAATATGAGGTTGAGTGGTGAATCCAACTTTTCTGTGAAATGGTTCGAACCCAATATGGAGCTCAGGTTCGCAAGATACAGACCGATAATGGGTTGGAGTTTGGGACGCATTCCTTGCGTGGTTACTATGCGGTGAATGGGATTATGTTGCAAACTTCGTGTGTAAACACGCCACAACATAATGGTGTTGTTGGGTGATAACATTGTATTTGAACATGTTTTTCCCATCATTTATTGATCATTTAAGCTCGCTTTCTCGCTCTCGTTGCCTATTTTACGCTAGGTTGTGTTGGTTTATGATGTTTCAGGTCCTAGTACGTGAATGGGTGCAAGAGCGCATTTTGGGACGTTTTGGAGCGATTGGACAAAAAGTAGGGAAAAGTTAAGGTCAGACCTCAAAAGTTATGGTATGGACCGTAACTTCTCCATGAGCTTGTAACTTTGGAGGAGCGAAGGCTAGGAATCCAGAAGCACTTTTAAAGTTACTACCAGACCTTCGAGGTTACGGACTCAACACCCGTAACTTGGGGAAGCGATGCCGAAGGTTCCAGGAGAGTTTTTGAAGTTACGACTTACCCCTCAAAACTACGGTCTCAACCATAACTTCTCTAAAGGAGTTGTAACTCTTGGTTTACGGAGCACAAAGATGACGATGTTTTGTGGAGAAGTTACGAGTTGGGAGAGGGAGTTATGGCCTTAACTTTGGCCATAAATCGCGAATCTCCAACATATAAAAGGGGCAGCTCGGGCAAATTGCCAAGGATCCGCATTTTTTAGTTCTAAAGAGCAGAGAGAGAAAGTGACAAAAAAACAACCCTTAGACAAGGATTGGAGCGATCTGAAGACCTCGGACCTCGATTCCTCACTCTCAGAGTATTGATTAGCCGCTTGGAGCAGATTTTCATTGTTTGCATGATGATTCCTCCTCCTAGCATGATGTTTCCTCTTCTCTCCTTGGATTAAACTCCCTTTTCATCTGGGTATGAAGAAACCTAGTTTTGTATGCTAGGAATGGTTGTATGAACCCCATTTGCGAATGATTGATTGATATATTCCATTGAGGCATTAATCAGAATTGCATGAGTCTTGATCAAACTTTTGTGATTCCTGCTTTAACGTAGAACGATAGTCTCTGCATAGGTTAATAGAGCAACCTTCAATTGGAAGTGGTAAATCGATTGCTTTAGTCGAGAAATCGATTCACTGCTCTGTACTGGAATTAAAGCCAGTAGAGGACGTTTGGTGTGTTATTGCCTTGGTTAGTTTATGTCGTTGAGGTTAGTTACCTGTCGGGTATTCAAACTAAGAGGATTAGGATTACTTTAGTCGAGATTCCAGACTTGTCAAGAACTTTCCGCAGTATATCTATCAATCAGAGTAAATTGGAACATATTATATGAACTAGCTGCATACTAGGGGGAACCATACCTGGATGACCTTTAGCATACTTGAAAACCCAAAGCATTTCCTGCTTTTGGTTTAATTTTCATTTGAACAACTCACTACACTTTAGTTGCTAGATAATAGAAGTTTACGAAGTAGGCAGTAGATCTAGACCCCAGGTTGATAAGTAAAAATTACCCACTATTCTGCATTTCCATTCTACGATTAAATTTATCGAGTTTGGTGTTGTGTTTTAGCGAGTCACTGAGCACAAACACCGATATTTACAGGAGATTGCTCGGGCTCTTCAATTTCATTAGGGACTTCTGGTGCAGTTTTGGGGTGAATGTGTGTTGACAACCACGTATCTCGTCAATAGGCATCCCTCTTCTATTCTCAATAACAGGACACCTTACGAAGTGCTGCTGGGCAAGCCACCGTCATATGACCATCTCCGTTTGTTTGGTTATTTGGTCTATGCGAAGGATATACATCCCATGTGCTCGACAAGTTCGCCGAGAGGGAGAGACCTTGCGTTTTCATGGGGTAGCCCGCGTCTCAAAAGGGCTATCAAGTGTCTGATTTGAAGTCATAGTGTAAGTATTCGTCGCGTGATGTGCATTTTATTGAGGGGACTTAGCCTTTTCGTGAGCATAGTGGAGAAGCTGTTGCCCTTGATCTTTATAAGGGGCAAGGCAATAATGATGTGCCCATGCATGCAGATCATGATGACTTTGATGATGATCTACGCCCTGGTGAGGAGTATTAAGCCACTAATGACTTGGATGAAGATCAAGGCGTGGGATCTACTTCACCCATTGTGGATCAAAATGCACAGGTTGGGGATGGGCAACTTTATCCTAACGTTGTCCCTGTTTTGAGACGGGGGACACGAAACCGCCAGCGTCTACTAGACTTGCTTAATATTTATGACACACAGCCACCCCAACAAAACTTACAGGAGGCAGCCCCATCATCTCATTCGACAGAGTCCACATATCCACTTGCTCATCATGTGAGCTACCATCGTTTTTCGAGAAATCACCGAGTCTATCTTGCGGCTTTGTCGAAGGCAGTGGAGCCGTGATTTTTTGCGCAAGCAGTCTTTGACCCACGATGGAGAGAGGCCTTGTAGCTTGAAGTCACAGAACTTGAGAAGAATGGTACCTGAACATTGGAGTACCTACCGCCCGGGAAGAAAGCCATTGATTGTAAATGGATTTTCAAGGTGAAGTATAAACTAGGGGTGAACAAAACAAACCGCAAACCGGCCCACCCGTCCAACCTGACCCAACCCACCCGTATTTATTGTTAAATTAAAATCTAAGGTTGGGTGAGGGTTTTAATTTCTACAACCCGCCTCTATTGGGTTGGGTGTGGATTTTGGGTTACGCAACCCGTGTTCCAACTATAGTCATTAATGTTCGTATCCAAAACATATTTGTAAGAAATTTAAGTTATTTTATCATAATTTTCTCTTGTGGTTTTCCTAATATGATACATTATTCTATTTAAAATTTAGACGTATATCTAATATAGGCTACAATTCACATAATTTTTTGAGTGTATAATTTTAGAAGAAGAATATATTATGAATGCGTTCACTTATAAGCATTTTAATTTATTTCGACAAATGTTTGTCGGAAAAACTAGACTTATTTTGAAGCAATTTTTTTCATTAAAATGCAAATACCATTTATGCATTTTGGTACTTTTCACTTTGATTGATTTGTTTAAAAATTTAATTAGTTATAGAATATTTTGTGATGTAGAATAGTTGTATTTTTTTGTGTTGGGTTTGGTTTTTAATTAAAAGTATCTTCAACCCGACCCAACCCAACTATAGACAAACCGTAGGGTTCTAAATTTTTTTTGTGGGTTTGGATTTGATATTTTTAAAACCGTAGTATATGGATCGGGTGATTAAAATGACCAAACCCTAACCACCCGACCCATGTACATCCCTAGTATAAACCAGACGGGTCCATCGCACGACTGGTCACAAAAGGCTTCACACAACTGGAAAGAGTAGACTTTCACGCACCTATGCACCACTAGCAAAGGTTGTCAGAGTCAGCATTTTGATAGTTGTTGCAGTCATTAAGGGCTGAAGCCTGCATTAGTTGGACGTGAATAATGCATTCCTCCATATTGACCTGGAAGAGGAGGTATACATGAAGGTACCTCAAGGTTTCACCCAGGATGGAGATAACCGTGTTTGCAGACTAAGAAAATCCTTGTACGGGCTAAAGCTGGCATCACGAAATTGGTACCATAAATTCATGTTGGCATTGGGCGAGCTTGGCCTCAAACCCTCACGGGCAGAACACTCCCTGCTTTCCTATCTTGGTATCTCCAAGGGAAGAGTTTCGTGGCAGCTCTAATCTGCGTCAATGATGTGATCTTGACTGGCAATGACCCCTAGTTCATAACTCGAGTCACGAGTTTCCTCGACCAGAAGTTTAGCATCAAGGATTTGAGAAACCTCAAGTACCTTCTCGGCATTGAGGTTGCATGGTCCGACGAAGGGGTGATTCTTAGCCTAAGGAAATACACTTTGGACATCTTGAGTGATGCAGGTATGATAGGACCTAGTGCCTTTCCGATGGAGCAAAACCACAATCTCACTCGGCCTACTGATCAAGTTGGTGAGGATTCGAGCAGCTATCGCTATTTAGTGGGACGCCTATTGTATTTGAACACCCGACCTGACATCTCTTATACGATCAATATTTTGTCGCAGTTTGTTCATCGTCCTAGTCCTGAGCATATTGCAGCCGCGACACGGGTCCTTCGTTACTTAAAGGCGGCGCCTGGTCAAGGATTATTCTTCCCGACGAATAGAAGTCTTGAGCTGCCGACTTATTGTGACATAGATTGGACAAACTTCCAACAGACCCGGAGATCAACCACTGGTCCAGCTAGGGGGGCCGTTTTCATGGAGGACAAAGAAGTAGCATGTGTTCTCCAAGTCCTCAAATGAAGCCAAATACCGAGCCATGGCAAGCACCGTTAACGAGGTACTTCGGTTGCGATTTCTTCTTAACGAGTTGGGTCTTTGGCAAGCTGGACCTACTCATCTCTTTTGTGATAACCAGGCAGCGCTTCACATTGCTGCTAATCCCGTGTTCCACGAATGAACTAAGCATGTTGAGATGGATTTATATTTCATTCAGGAGCGAGTCACATCCAATGAGATCAAGTCGCGAAAGATCGGGACATCATCGCAGCTTGCAGACATTTTTACGAAAGCCCTGGGGATGTAACAGTTTCATTTTCTTCTATCCAAGTTTGGCATTCGTGACCTTCATGCTCCAACTTGAGGGGGAGTGTTGAGGTGTATTTGTATGTCCGAGATTATTCGAGGAGCTTTTTGTACTTTTGCACCTCTAACCCTAGTACTCACGTTGAGTTGTGATGATGAATATATAAAAGGGTTTGTAGGTCTTATAGTCGTGTACTGCTGCTGCAGATTATTCTGTCAAACCATAATAAGAACGACCTGGAACTCACGTTCCTGTGGACTGGTCCTATTCTCACCGAACAGGGAAACCACGTAAATCTCGTGTTGTTTTGTTTTCTGCTTTAAGATTATCGCTATTTTACATTTCATATCAAGAGAATTAATGAAATCAAAACTGAATCAAATAATTTTATCCAATATAAAATTTATCCAAATATTGTTTGGTCTATTGTGAAAAAAGTTGTATGTCCATCCTCGTTATAACTTATACATGTCACATTGTAAATTGAAATCACATATAAAACAACACTATGTGTGATGGTTAGAAATCGTGATCCGTTATAGTCCAAAGTGCATATATATTATCATTACCTGATAAATCGGAGATACAACATATGCACATTGATCCATCTATGTTTCCTCTCTTCATTGTTTTACTAATTTTGCCAAACAGATTTATGGACAGAAAAATATGATTATATACGTAGTGCAAATAACCACGTTGAATCGGTGAAAAAATAATAAACTGATCATTATCAACAACCATGGATGATTCTGGAGCAAGTTTGCTTGACCCAACGACAACTCTTCTTTAAGGACGACTTCACCTTCCCTTCCATGGCATAAAGCTTGTACCGCGCCACCCTCTTCTTCCTCTTGGCATCCGGTGAATTCCACCATACCTTCAAGGCATTGCCATCGCGTTGCCTCGTCGGATGAGGAGGGGCCACCGCCGCTAGTCGCCTCGCATGGTGGTGGCCGGGTGGCGGTGGGAGACGTGCGGACGGTGGTGGTCTTGGGGGTGGTGGCAACCGGTCCGTTCCAAACCTGCTCGGTTTTCCTCCTTGCTTCTCATCCATGGTTCCAACCATATTTGAATTTGAAATGAGTTGGATCTTTATTCTTTGACCTTCAATTCATATTATCCCTCCAATAAAGTAATTGAAATTTTAGGGTTACAACACTAGGAAGAACGATAACAACAATGAAATTTTTTGTCTCTGTGTCAAGATTTTCCTCTCCCTCTCTCTCGAACGAGATTGGGAGAGACGGAGAGGAGAAAATCTCCAGACAAGAGACGGAATTTCAGGCCTAACTAGAGAAAAAAAATTCATCAAAATCTAGGCTTTCATTTATATAATGGAGGAAGAGGTCTGAGTTGGGAGGTTGTGAGCCGCTGCCTCTTATTCGTGGAAGACATAAATCAGAGAGATTAAAGGCTAGACACCCATCTAAGTACATGACTTAGCTAAACTTACCTTAAAATAGGAACCCTAGACATTACTCTACTTCCCTTGATATCTTTGGGCCTTTTTTGTAGCATGCGCCATAGGCCCACCAACCAATTCTTTGGTATCTTTATGCATCCTTATGATTATGAACATCAACAAATCATGTTCTATGTCTATTAGACTATCATCTATCTTTATCATATATCATCAAACATTTTTGGTATGTTGTTCATTGCCAATTCGTGTTGTCACCCTACATGCCATTGTCATTTGTAGCAATAAGATCCATGTGTTGTGTTCATTGGATTGTTAAGTGTCCCATTTGTGTCAATTTCTACCGAGTATATCTTCATTTGCAAAACACCCATGTGATTTTTCACATCACCATGCATATGATTCTCATTTATATCCATCATCATTCATCGTATCATTCTTAATGCCCTCTGATCTTTGTCCAATAAGAACCAGATTCCAGTGGAGTCTCCTCATGGAATTTTAAATAAGTCGTTACCATCTTTTGTTTTGGTATGAATATAATAGTATCTATTTTTTTGTTGTTAAATTTATGAAAAATATTTATCATATTTATTATATTAATGATTGTTGAGCTACATAATACACCATATTTTCATTAGTGTAGTGGATGTTTATTAATTTATCACCGTATACTTAACACAAAATTCAAAAATAATTTGTATTACTAAGTTTCTAATTTAGTAGACCATAGCATTGCGTGGTTGCCAACGGTAGTTTAACAATGCTTGCTTGTATTGAGAAGTATATGGAAAATAAAGTGTTTTTGTCATACTTTTTATGCTCTAGCCTCATTGAATATGACATCATAGTAAACCCACCAACTTTGTTCTTTCAGATGTTAATTTTACTTGAACTCCCTAGCTAGATTTGTTATAATTTTGATATTATAGACTTTATACTTCCTAGCTATTCCGCTTGCATAAATTGGGAGAGATCCCTTCATTTGCTGCCTTGACCATATCTGCTCCAAACTCACCTAAATTTGCTCCACTTTCTACTCATTATGCCTTCCCATTTGCCACTTTATTTCCCCATTTTTCTCAGATGATCATTTGTCTATTTCTCCAACTGATTGCGAACTCCACCAACTCGTTTTAAAATATTTCATCACTGTCATGATCTCAATCCAACTGCACTTTATATCTTAATTTTCTCAACACTGGTTTGGTGATCACTATCAACACTCGCAGAGTGATCATGAATGGCATCCTCGTCATATCCATAAGATCCTTGACCCTCATCAAGCAAGAATGAGTATTTAGACGAGCACCAAAAAATATGTTCTAGGGTTTATTTCTCTCTCAGGAGTGGAAAATTTCAATAAATTTTAAAGATAATTTGAAAACATATATGAAATCAGTTTCATAGCTCAGTGAATTAGAGCGTCGCATGATTGATTGGAATGTTTCAATTGACCATTAGCCAATGTTAGTTTTATTGGAAAATAGAATGAAAGAGTTGATTATGTTCACTTCAACTCATTTTTTAAATGATGTTTTGGTTTCCTCCAATATTTCACGAAATTAGAACTTTCTGACAATGAAAAATCCATACCTACTAGTGGTAACATAATTAGCTTATTATATTGTCACCTCATGCTTAAGACATTTCTCGGGAGGAGGAAATTTTTTTCGAATTCATACTAGATTCATGATTATGGACAAGGTATGACGCACACTCAAATTAGTTTTAGATCATCGTTATCTTGTGTTTGAGTCATTTTACTCAAATTTATAAATAAAGCGTTGTTAACTACTTTTTTATTACCCAGGAACCTCAGCCCCACGTACAACTTTGTGACAACGGGGCCTATGCAATCAATTCAACGCCAACAGGGCTTCGCCCACAGCAGTCTTGTACCTCCGGGAACACCAACGGGCCTCACTTGGATTCGAATCTGGGATCTGCAACTCTCAAACCTTCACTGTCGCAACAACTTTTACCGTTAGGATATCTTAACTTTGGTAAGCGCGGTTAACTATTACTTATTCAATACATTGAATTTCTTTATTCTATTATTTATCCAATCAGTAACATGGATACAAAAGTTGTAAATATATGCAGTCTTGTAATACATTAACAACTAAGAAAATGGACGTCAGAATATTAAACCTTGTATTAAATTTGCTAATCTCAAATGATGTTCAACATAGTCTAAATGTAGTTTCTACGTAGAACCAAAGTGATATGAATAGAAAATGTAAATCTATATTGTAGAAGCATAAAGTTCTACATATCATGTGCAATTGCAAAAGATGGCCCGACTATGATCAATAGTCCGACCTATATAAAAAAACAAACTTCAATGCATATTTTTACAAATCATTTCAATAACTTATTCAATACATATTTTTAGAAGGACTAAATTACACCTTTGGTCACTCAAATTATACAAATCTTTAACGTTTGACATCCAAATTATTTTTCTTTCTTATTTGATCACTAACTTTACAAATCATTTCACCGTTAGTCACCGACCGTTACACTCCGTTAAATTTGTCATACGTGGCAGTCAACTATAAAGTTTGACCGTTAATTAGATGATGTGGAAATTAAAAAAAATTAATTTCCCACATCATCATTCCACTTGCTTTACCTATATGATTTACCAAGCACTGTTGCCGATGGATCTAATCACACTTTGGGGTAAGATTATACTTCGATTAGTGCTGCAGCTTTTCATAGATGAGGCGGTAAATTCCAGAAGCTAGTAGTGACGAATAAGAAAGAAAAGTAATTCGAGTGGCAAACATGAAAGATTTGTGTAATTTGAGCAAATAAACGTGTAATTTAGATGATTTTAAATAGTGAGATTGTAAACCAGCAACAGTTTACAGTTTACGTAGAATGCGTGTTTTTTTCTGGCTCAAATCAATGTCTCCGTAAACTCTGAGTAGAAATTCAAACCTCATTTGTTAGAACTGTTTACCAATGCATTTCAGCTAAGTATGTTGCATGTAACAAAAGCCTGATTGCATATCTGATTCAAGTATTGATTAGCTAGCCAAAGTTTATTCATATTTTCTTATCGTATTGACGAGAAGTACAAGGTTCTTGTTATGAAAATTAGTCTCTATCTCTTGTCCAGGTGTAGATACCTTTGAAAATCCCCTGATACTTAATTGTTCTAGTTTATTGATTTCACCTTTACTCAAAAGAAGATTTTAGTTGACAGTACGACGGAGAGGAAGGAAAATTTCTCTTTACTCTGGCTTTCGATCGGCTGGATTGGGCGGCATCAATCAGTTCGACAAAAACGGAGGGCCGAGGGGAACGATCGATTCATGCCAGTAAACTTTTCCCCGAAACATAACCAGAAAAAACCTGCAGAAAACAAACTTTCAATGGAAAACAAAAAAGAGGTACGAAGGACGGAAGGAGAAATGAAAAAGAAAAAATAGGTTCCATTGATCGGTTGTGAAGAGTTGAACCAAATTCCGGTTGTAGAACTCTAAGCTGATTTTCGGAAAGGAAAAAAATTGTCACGTTAGGTGACAAAACACCTAAAGTCAAAAAATTTCACGCATATTTTGCTCATTCACGCCATTTTGTGCTTATTCACATAATACTATGGTTGTTCACATAAGAGTGTAAGTTATTCGCGTAAATGAAAAATCAGACATTTTCCCCTAAAAATTTGTATTAGATATAGTTTCTATAATTAAATTTGGATTCTCAATTAATCTGTAAAAATGTGTTGCATTAATAATAATCTACACAATGACATCCATTTTTATATACTTCACAGTTTAAAATTTTATTTTACAATGGCGTGAATAAATAACAATATGTGTGAATAAACATCATGTTGCCTGACCTAACAGTATTGGTTGCGTGAATAATCAACACTCTTAAGTAAATAACGTGAATATGGCGTGATTAAATGAAAAAATGAGTAAATTAGGTGTTTGAACACTTAACATGATGAGATACTTGATTCTTTTTAAAGGACATAATAACACATAAACAACCACGTGGTCCAATAAAATATAGTGGCACCGGTATATTGGCCATTAAGTAAACCTAATTTGTTCCAATCTCTACATTCTACAACCCCCGACTCCAAAAGAAAATTGGTTGAGTTCGGATTAGCTACCCAACTAATAGAACTCTCCAACCTAACCACAGTCTGTGCAAAAACTTGAGAGGACAGGGCTTGGGCGGTGGGCCCATAAATTCATAGCCCAGTTGCCGAACCCTCGAGGTCATCAGCTAGATTCGCTTTCCGGCAACTCCTGATAACCTTTGCTCCCCACTTTGAGGGTAACCCTGCTTCTTCAACTTAGTTGTACTCCTAACATGGTTTTTTGTTAGGAGATACTTATAGGGCCGGATGGGCAGCCACGTCGCCAAGCCACGATCCATCGGTGGAGGAAGATTGGTGCCATCAAGGAAGGAGAGCCGAGTCCATCGGCTGGCCCAAACCCATGGGAAAATAAAATGGGGCCCGCCGGTCCCCCCAAAAAAAACACCACTTTTTTTTACTCAAAATCCTCCCCTCTCTAATCTTTCTCCGCCAGACACGTTTCCTCTCTCTCTCTCTCTCTCCAAAAATCGATCATTTCCACTCCCTTTCTCTTTCCTCTCCCTTTCCTCTCCCAATAACGACGACGGTGGCTAGGTTGGTTTGACGGCGGCGACGAAGGGGTTGGTGGACGGCGTTTAAGGTGCAGCCGAAGCGGGCTTGTTTTGACGGCGCAGACGAAGCGGCGACGACGAAGGGGTTGGTTGACGACGGTCGTTGAAGAAAGAATAACTTCGTTAACTAAGGTAGCGGAGTTTTTCCCCCTTCGTTAATGGATACTCATGTTCGTTTGAGTATATTGGAGTTAGGGTTG